ATCAACATGAGTTACTTAATTCTAGATGGTAAGTTGCTATTGATAAGACAACAACATCAGAATCCAAGAAGAACCATGAATTCATCAGAACTATTTCAAATAATAACAGTTGTGCACAACCAGTTCTTTATAATATGTAAAAACTGACTCCAGAACATTTGTCACGATGACTACAGAAGTGAAAAATATTAATGCAATCTCATATGTGATATAACTATGCAATGCAACATCAGGGAATGCATCTCAAGATTAGACAAATGGGAAAAATAAAAAATAAAAACAAAACTACAACTAAATGAAAGTTCTTAAAGGATTTAACAGAACCATATTTGGGCCTCATTATGTAAGGCCTACAATAGCTTAAATCATTCACAACAGCATGATATAATCATTAAGCAAATTATTGGTAAGACTTAAAAAGATGTCCTTGAAGACACAAAAGAAATGACATAATAGTTTACTTAGGATTGATGGTGTTAAGATTCATAGATTCTAAAACTAACCTCATACAGTGGCTGCCCATCCACTACCACCCAGGGTACATATCTATGTGGGGGCTGAAGGGAATCTGTTTTCTCTGCATACTGTAATTCAAGCTGCCACAAGAAAAGAAAAAAGCATGTCATGTTCATCGAGCAGACTTAGCATTATTCGTTCTATATACCATCTGAATTGCTTCCTTATACCTACAGGAAACCATCTAATTGCAACTTCAGTTTTTGCTGCAATACCAACTGTTACTTCAAGTAATTTATAGAAAATTAAGAAACTTGTCATACAAATGTTTTGTGATAGGATATGCTGTTACCCTATTGTTTTTCTCCTCTCTGAATATACAAAAAAGTTACAAGATTGAACATGCCCAAACATGCTTATCTTTTTAATCTTTTCGACTTTTGATATTTTAAGAAAAAGAGAATCATAAATATTTGCCTTCTAGAGATTTTTTGAACAAACATAAAGCTGGAGTTCAAATGGGAATAACAAACACTTGGAATTTCACAGGTTTTTTTATTCAGAAACATTCTGAATTAGAAGATTTTTTTACTCTCAAAAAAGCTTGGCAACAACAGAAGTTTTTTTCTTTTCATCCCAAAAGCATCATTACTGAGCATGTTACTTACCATGATTTTACACCTTTGTCCCTAAACTCAAAAGAAAAATAGAAAACAGGAAAGATTTGGAAGATACCTCTTTCCCATGTCCGCTATCATAGCAATTTAAAACAGCATTTGAATCCAGACCAAGTTTTGAGAAGCAGGATTCCCACTCGGTGTATTTATGCTCCAAAACCAGATGTTCGACACAATAAATGAAACTAAAATGTATGCTCTGCAAAAAGCTCCATGAATATTACCAGTTAAGCAAAGATATAGCATAAAGCCTTCCATTCAAACAATGACCCATTAAAGATAAAGAACAACAGATGAATCAAATTACAGTGCCAAAAAAGTTATTCAATTGTATTTTGGTTAGTGCATTTCAAAGTTCCTATCGAGGAAACTAACAAAAAAACATATTCAAGTGCAACAAATAGACATCCTGATAAGTACTTGACAAAGCCTTTTTTTCTCCCAAAAAACAGTAGTTGATAAATCACATATAATTTCAATTTGTTATATGAACAAGGCAATCCATAAATAGAAGAGATGAGTAGCTATATATACCTGAACACTCGATTTAATAAGGGAACTCATGGAGGTGTTTCAATAGAGTAGTTTCTGCTGCAATTTTGTATGTGAAATTTCGATATATTACAGTTTTTTTCTCGCTCGTAACTTCTTTGGACTCTCAACAATGGAGTGGAAATATGGTATCATCATGTCTACTACAATAATCTTCTGGAACACCAAGTATTGTGTCGCAACTATGTTTTAGTTATTTGTATTGCAAGTGTTGCCTGACTTATTCCATCAATCGACTTGATTCCACCCAGGTTTCCAGGCACTAAGCAAATGATATAAAGAGATTATATGCACGCATAGTCCAAAAGTAATACATGAAGAGAGAACAAAAGAATTCTTCACCAGATCAGGCCAAGCATTGATGGCACAGGCTTCCACAGTGTTCAATAAGCACTCGTTGGGGCCATGCTGCAAAACACAAGATCGATTAGCTTGCTTGTTTCAGTTTCCCCTCTATTCTACATACAAGAGAATATGAAATATATCCATTCATTAATAAGAGCAAAAGATATCAAAATTGATATGAACTATAGATTGCCTGTATAAATAATTAACCAAAAATCAACACCATAGATTTCCCCCCAAATCAAGAAGAGATGGAAATATACTTGAACAGAAACAAGGTTCATCTGACCTACTGTGTACTATAAGCTTATCCGCATGGATCATTATGCGAATAACCGACATCATAGATTCTCTTCCAAATAGAGAAGAGATTGAAATATGTTTAACCAGTAGATTGTGATCTTTGGGCGAAACAAGTTTAATATGCCCTACCTGTAATACAAGTTTAGCTAATGAGTAATTAAGCTGTATCAACATCATAAAGAACAAAATATTTTATGTTCTTTTCTCAAAGATTCCAAAGCCTCATTACGGCACCCACGCGCCACATTTATCAGATGACTAATGATTTTGGGAAATTTAATGTGGTTCTGAACCTCTAATGATCGAAAAATAAGCAAATTGAAGCCGCTGTGGTTAAAATCTACAGCCAAGGTATCTTCGATACGACTGAGAGACGGATTAAGAAGAAGAATTAAAGCAATTGCTAGGCGACCTGGCAAGACATGGTGGAGTTGGAGCCGAGGCGGGCGTTGCCATAGGGAATGAGGTCGAGGTCGACGATGGAGATGAGGCCGTCGTGGAAGATTTTGGATAGATGGTTGACGATGAAGTTGGAGCAGTAAGGGCAGAGGGTCTCGTAGTAGAGAGCCAGCGAAACATTCCGAGGCGAAGCAGGGGAAGAGGTGGTGGAGATGGCAACACGAGAAAAGGAGGATGAGGAGGCGAGGAAGGAGGCGACGAGAAAGAGGAGAAGGCGAGCCGTAGCGGCCATGATGATCGCGAGGAGGAGGAGCTCGTCGTCGACGGGTGGTCGATGGATAAAACAGGTGACGTAGGGTGTGCGGAGGAAACGGTGCCAAGCAAGGATGGCTACGTGTCGGATCTTTTCAGGAATCGGGTTTTAGAAACCATTCAACAAGTGACGTATGCAGTACTCAGAAAAATATCATACAATGTTGCATGACCGTTACGTCAAGCGACGGCTGAGATGCAAAGTGAAAGCCGATATGACAAATGTAGAGGAACCCTCTCACGTTTCTTATGCAGCCATGATGATCACACGTGGCTTACATGTGACACTCATTGATCGTCGGACACGTATTCATCGTGAGGTGATACGTGGCTAAGTGATCGATCGTCTGAATCGGTCGGAGATGGACACAACGAACCTATGCGAGCAATAGATTCGACGGGCGTTGAGCGTGAGTCTTCAACCGAAACGTTGCATGTTCCTCCCCTACCATCGACAATTTTGGGATAATTATCTTCAGTCACTTACAAATGGAACCTCTATGTATATTCTCACGGACATAACTTTACTTCAATATTGATCCATTCCTCTGAAAAGATCGAACCAAAGAACATTTGTTACAAATACCCCTACCTTAATTTTACAAGTTTAACGCTCTATAAACAATGACTCAGTTCAACTCAGATAACCATAATATATATATATATATATATATATATATATATATATATATATATTCTTTCTTACATGAAAATAATATTTTACTCATGTGTTCATCAAACATGCCACCATCTCCTCCCTGCACTGTCCTTATTTTTTACGGATCACATTAGTTTTTATCATATCCGTCCTTACCTCTACGAACCTTTTGACACTCGTTGAACTCTCCTACACATCTCATACTCATTATCCTTACAATACAAGCAATCAATGACAAAAGCACAAACGGAAGGGGTTGAAGGCAAAGGAGAGGGTTGTGATTGTAGACGCAAAAGCGGGTCTAGCAAAAACTAATGAAATTCGTAAAGAAAAAGACAATGGTGCTAGGTGGAGGCGATAACCAATAGTGAATTTTTTTAAAAAAATTATATGTATAAATATATATATCTCAATAGTGAATTCTTGAAAAAATACCCACAACATTGAGTTTCTTATATAGAGCACCACTGTTTGAAAAGATTATTTTGCTCTCATAATTAAATAATAATAATTATAACCCATCGTGTCTTTGCATGTATTTTGTCGCTTGGCTCACTAACACTCGAGTGACATCGCAGATTGCCAAGAGAGGAGAGGGAACGATTGATATTGCTAACTCACGAGGGGAAAGGGATGATCAGCTAGGTGGGATCACTTGACTGCAAAGATATAAGCAACAAGAGAAAGAGGATGGCTAGTATTGCTTACCAATTCGTGCATAAAGGCATAAACAACCATAAAAAAGAAGGGAGATAATGACTATGAGTGAGGGCTGATGAGTGTGCCACAGTAAGTCGTGAGCGGAGCCACGATGGACGACGATGATCGATAAGAGTAAAATAATTATTTTAAAACAATATTTCGAAAAAATATTTAAAAATTCTTTCGGAAATTCGCCCGTATATCAAATATTATACATATTAAGAAATTCTTTGTCTCAAAATATAGCCAGTGACAATATCGTGAATAAAGCCATTCTGACGATCTTTGGCCCTGAGAGCACGTAGTAGCTGGACGAAGTGGGTTCCACAAGTTAACTTTTATCTACGCCTATGTCCCGGCACCCGTTGCCCACCCCCAAAATGATCTTGATCATGCGGGGCCCGCTTCTTTTGCCTTCCGGTGTGAACGAGGCGGGTAGGAAACAACGTCTTATGTAGCTTAGCCGGGCCCCACGACACATAAGCGGCCGAGGGAACACGGAGGACCTTTAACGCCTTCCCGACTCCGTCGTAAATCTAAACGTTCCTTGCTATGCCATTGGACGGTTCCGATTTGATCGATCAAAGAATCAGCGAACCACGGCGCGGGCTTCATAAAGGGCGAGCGGGCGAACAACCCTAGGCGGCAGCGGCAGCGGCAGGGGCAGCGATCTTTTCATCGCCTTGGGCTCTCTCGTCTCCGTCGCAAAGGTACCAATCCAAGCATAAACTGTCCTTAAGATCGACCTCAGTTCTGATAGTAATCGATCGTCTCTGCTTCCATTTCGTGTAGTGTCTTTTTTTTTTTTGGTATGTTGTTGTTGTTGATGGGATTTATCGTTCTGGAGTCGATGCATGTGGTCGGCTTGGGGTTCTTCTATTAGAATACATACAGAGGGATTTGCGTTTAGGCTTTGCTTGGAATGCTGGTGTCTTTTGGCTGATCTTCATAAATGATATGCAGATTACTCTGTCAAAGATTTCCGCAGTATATATTTTAGATCTTTGAGTTTATTGATGCGCACCTACTCGTCCCATTTCGTTGGACTCACTTCTAATGTTTACTGTTCCGTGCATCAATTATTTCTGGTGTAGAAATTTGTATCGTGTATTGTTCATCATGTTAGATTTATGGTAATGTCACCTTGGTCTTTACTAGTTATGGTCATGATTATAGTAGATCAGAACAAGTTTTAGAAAATTTGTCTAGTTATGCTACTTCTCATTTATCATGTCGTAACGTTATCACTTGTGTTTCTGGAACCTGTTAGAATTTTAGGATTGCAGCAGGCAAGACAAAGTTGTTTGCTTAGTGGATGAGACACAGTATAATTTATGTTTCCAGAGTCAGTAGCAAGCCGATACATACCATGATTCATCTTATATCTTTCTAGACAAAAAAGTAGATGATTTCTATTTTTCCAGTTTTATATTTTTATCTCCTTCCAAATCTGTGTAGGTTTGATTACTATCATCAACCAAAATGTTTACTGCAAGGAAAAAGATACAAAAAGATAAGGGTGCTGAGCCGACCGAGTTTGAGGACACTGTTGCCCAGGCTAGTTGTTAATCTTGGTTCTGTTTTCCTGTTGCTTTTACGAAAGATTATAATGAATTGTTTTTATTAATTTCAGGCATTCTTTGATTTAGAGAATGGGAATCAGGAGTTAAAGAGTGACTTGAAGGACCTTTACATCAACTCGGCTGTGTGAGTTTTAGCATATCAGTCTTCCTACTTTCTTGCATGAACAAGCATAAAGCTGCTTATTGTTTTGTGCCTTGTCTGGTTGTCTGATGCAGTCAAGTGGATGTAGCTGGCAATAGGAAAGCTGTTGTTATCCATGTTCCGTATAGACTTCGGAAAGCCTTCAGGAAGATTCATGTGAGACTCGTTAGAGAATTGGAAAAGAAGTTTAGTGGGAAGGTAAGCCAGGCCTGGGTATATCTTTATGTTGTATTGGTTAGATGATTTTAGGCTCAACCTGGAATTAATAAAAGTTTATTCTTTGAAGAAAGAAACATGAGCTTTTTATGAACCACATGCAGTTATCCATTCAATTTATTTTAAAGAACTTATGGTGATCTAAATGATGCCATTGCATAAGTGCTATCTGGACAGATTTTGTTTAAAATACACCGTCTAGCTGTGGAAAGTTTCGGGAAGCAGTTCCATGGCTACTATTCATAACTACTAAGATTTTCTTGTGAAGATTAGGTACAACATGATTTAAAGCAATTCCGTAGTCTTCTGCCATTGAAGAGTGATTCTCCTATTTCATGAATAATAAAAAATCCAAGGGATGTGCTGATGTCATGATCCAGTTGCTATCTTATAGGTCTTTGGAAACCACTATCTTCGCCCGTGATCTCAATATTTTGACATCAAGCTACCACATTTAACATGCAAAATTCATCCTAGATCATCACTAAAGTTCTTTTGATTATATATTGGGTATTGACATTTTAAAAGTAGCTGTAATTTATTTTGGACATCAATCATTAAGTTTCTGAGCTCTGTCTTAAGATCATCGTGTTCATTGTTTGTCAGTTTTGAATCCAGTATTGTTGGTTCCTGAATGTAACTGAACCTTTTTTATTCTAAAGTTCATTTTGTTGCTTTATATGATAGGATGTGATTCTCGTTGCTAGTCGAAGGATACTGAGGCCACCTAAGAAAGGTTCTGCCGTTGTGCGCCCTCGCAGCCGCACTCTCACTGCCGTTCATGATGCCATCTTGGAAGATGTAGTTTACCCTGCTGAAATTGTTGGAAAGCGCATAAGATATCGTCTGGATGGCTCTAAGATCATGAAGGTGTGTTCCCATTGAACTAGTGGTCTTGATTTTCAGTTTTCTTTTTTCTTTCTATCCACTTCTTTGATATTAAAATATCAGAATATGCTTGATCAATAAGAAAATCATATCATGGTAATATAGCTTATTTAGTTTGGCCATATCATGGTAAAATCTTTTCACCTGAATAGATTTTATCCTGTTGTTCAACACATAGTAGGTTACTACTGATGAAACTCCTTGTCAAACCATAAAGAAGGTCTCTAGTTTCTCTTTTCAGTGGTATATCCACACAGTTTTGTGCTATGCAGTTTGTTCTTTTCTAAAATTATGGTGTTTTACAGTTTGTTAAAGAGAGTATGATGTTATAAATTTTGATTCAACAGATTTTCCTTGACCCAAAGGAGCGGAACAACACGGAATACAAAACAGAGACCTTCACGAGTGTTTACCGGAGGCTTTGTGGGAAGGACGTGGTATTTGAGTACCCTGTCACCGAGACTGCATGAAAATATTTATCACCAGCTTAGTATTGTTATTAAACTTATAAATCGGGAGACAATTTTGCTGAGAAGCACCAAGTTCGGTTTAATTTGGTAAATTGAAGATACTTGATGATTTCATGATCAGGAAACTAGCATCTTTGCATTACTGCCATTTTATTTTCTTTTTTAGGCATGTGCATTTGAGCTGGGATCTGATTTGTGGTATTTGGATATTCAATGCCGGATAAAAAAGAATTTGTACCACCAGGATCTAGATTTGCAAGTAATTGTGGATCTAATATTATGTGACTGGTGTTTGATTTCACGAGATGGATGCATCAGTTGTTTTTCTTTTTGATAGAAAGTATCAGTTTGGAGTGGTTAAGGTTCATTTATGGCTTTGGTCATAGATCTGTTAATTGTTATGGTTTATTCGTGGTTGTGTAGGTGTTAATAGATCTCTTAATTCTTATAGTTTATTCGAGTTTGTATGCGTGTTAACAGACATTAGAATCTGTTAAGAATCTGTTTATAGGATATGTTAATTTATAATAAATTATTAATATAATGATATATAATTTAAAATTTTTAAAAAATAAAACTTTCATCAATGGTGTGAGGTTTTGTTATTATGGAAGTGACTATCAACAGCAGCACTTATGATCTCTTTTATCTCTGTCTCTTTTGTCATTCTTCATGGGAGAGTTGTTTTCAAGGTGTGGTAGTATTACTCGTCGTCTCCTTTCGTCGTTGATTGAGGTTTCAATTATTTTTTTTAATTTTAAATTATATTTGATAGAGGATTCAATTTTTTTAAAATTTTAAATTATATATTAATAATTTTAATTTTAAATTATATATATTAACTTAAATTTAAAATTTGTATGTTATGTTTTTAAAAATATATGAATTATTTTAGACATGAATAAATAATAAGGATTTAAATATTTCATGATCAAAATCATAAATTTTAATTTTAAATTATATATATTATTATGTGAATAATTTATTATAAATTAATATGTCATGTAATTAAATTTTAATATATATTAATTAGATATGAATACATTATAAAAGTTTAAAAGATATTTTTAAAAATATAAATATTATTTTAGATATAAATAAATTATAAAAATTTAAAAGATATTTTAGATACGAATAAATAGAGATCTATAAATAAAATTATATGAGTGATTATAATTATTTGCGGTAGAATGGATTTATCGCAATTTCTGGGTTTGAATGAATCCCGTCTTCGCCGTTTATTGTTTTCTTGATATTTGATCTCCTTGACGGCGCATGAACTCGTGCGGAGGCGATGCCCCTGGCAAGAGAGGGACGGCGTTAGAGGCGAGGCGTGACCACCATGGAAGTTTCTCGTCATCTGTTGCACATTTGACAGTGCTGGAGACGGCGTTACAGGTTAATAAGCTTAGCAATTTCAGACCGCAAAAGAAAAGGAATAAATTTTGCGAGTGCCTAAGTCGTACCTTTTGTTTAGCCCTGACGATGACACTATAGTCTGTGGTGTTTTTACCTTTCCGAGTCCTAAGTCGTAACTTATCTTTAGCCCTTTGCTCAAAAGAGTCTTGACTGTCGGTTCCCATTGAACCGGTGAAGTCACAAGCGCTAGAAAGGACAGCCATGCAAAGAAACTATTAATGATCATCGTGAAACAGTATGGCGCAGTAAATGTAACTGCAACATGCTAACCTATTGTGCCACAATCTTCTGGATTGTTGTAGCAGGATCCCAGTGTAGATGGGCATCCGCGTTCGAGATAACCGGTACCCCTGGAGTTCGGATTTCCGTTGCCGGAAGTGCAACCTCTAATCGGAGCATGCACTGGTGAGCAACTGTTTAACTCTGCCTCCAGTCAGCTTCAGAATATAGTTATATTTTAGAAAGATTGCATAAACATTCCAATAATCTCTCATAAACGTATGAAAAAAGGAGCATTCTAAGAATTTTATTGACTATATATAAATATATTTAAAGTCAAAAAAATTGCCTTGCTCTCTTTGGAGGCCATCGCCTCGAGTAAAATAAGAAAAATCAGAATGTGACAGAATACTCTTTAGATATTTTTCTCATAAGAAATTAAGATCCAAGCTTCGTTGCCTAAGTAATAAACTGCTGGTGAAAGAAACCACATTCATCAGCTCTTCAGGTTGGTTGGTTGCCTGTGTAATGGCCAGCCAAGTAAGCCCACACTGTCTTAACAAAAGCCGCTAGCCTCGTCGCCATTGAATAATTAGCACGATCAGGTCCCCTTTTGGTCTTCAGCTTACCGGATTTTGATGATGTTACCTTGTAGGACATGGATATCAAGTTGCTGACAACCTGGAAAAAGAACAACCAATGACTTTTATCTTGATATTTCATGATGGCCAAGTATAGACGATATTCTCTCCTTCAGCTTCTGAATGGTCTGCGCAAAGTGAGAGTATGTGAGTAGGAACTCTCGGGTGGTTAAGAAAACAGCCATCCAAGGTATGAACTTATTAAAACATCTCACCAAGTAGGATAATTTTGCCCATCTATGAGCAGATGTTGCTGCTACCTTTAGATGACAATCGCCAGGAAGGTTGTAAGAGACAGAATATGTAGAATTTTCAGTTGCTTCTGCAACCCAAAGATGATTTGTCTGATCCCTCGCTCGCTTCACCAGATTATAGAACCCAACCTACATAAGGCACGGTGCTAACGATGAATATAAGCTCTGGAAATATACGAGCATTAATAGCTAAAATTGATACTCAAATATAGATTTCATGAGAAATTTCTTCCCCAAGGGATTGCTCCACATTATCACATACTACGGTTCCTTCATGGTGGTGGCTGAACAGATCCTTGTCCACCATAGGTGACGAGAAGCTGACAGCAAGCAAACAATCATGTTGTTCCTGATATTGAGAAGTTGAGCTACAATTGCATCCGTCTGTAATGAAAATCCATTGCTTTTTCTGGCGTCCAGACATGCAAACATCCTCGACATGCAAAATCATTGCTGCAATATCAAATTCACTAAAACAAGCAGCACAACCAGTTAGAAGGGAACTGAAACAGGAAGACAGAAGTCATAGATACAATGAGATTTGAGAGATGAAAGAAAGGCACAAGATTTACCTTGCTAGAGGTATCTCACCCAAATTTGACAAGTTGACTGATTTGCGAGGATTAAAAAATGGTCTGCAGGAAATAAGGTCGATAAATTAGTTATAAGGATGCTTTTAGTTTAACCAACCAATGTCACAATTTGCTTACTCATATTTATCAGCCTCCGTTGAGGGCAAGTTTTTCCATACAGTGGAATATCCACCACCTTGAAGATAAAGGACATCCATACTAAAGTTCAGTGGCATAAGCCCTGAAACATCATATATTTTTCCTTCTACCAGGTCAACTTTCTGTCGGACAGCATGACAAGGAAAGCAAAAGTCGTCTTTAAACTCTGTTTGAAACAAAGTTTATGAAAGTAGAAGACTTGGGGGAATGAATTAAATGCCTCACGGATAAAAGCAATTTAGTGCATCACCTCCAAAGGGAATGCAGCGACTAAGTTAGAAACAAAAATTATCAATGATGGTAAATTTTTCATGTCAATATATCTATCTAGCAGAATAAAAGAGCAACAGCCACCGAATATAAGGATGTGTGAACTGTCTCGTTACCTCTTTCCCAGCACTAACTAAATTTTCATGCTTTCACATATGTGATTTCGTGAACAGAAGAATAGAGATTTAGGAGCAATAGAAGCATTATTCCCACCATTACCTGATCCTCAGTTGGGCTCCAGATTGTTATCAAGCCTTCCCTGAATCGGCCCTTTCTGCATGAGTATTTACTGGTTAAACCTGCCACCCTAACCCTCATAAAGGGCGTGACCTCCCTTGAAGCAACGCCAGCATCTTTCAAAGCTTTCTCAATCATCTTCTGCAGATGTGATTGCCTAATCTCCTGGAGTTGAACCGTACATCTCTGAAAGGGTTTTCCAGATCGAACCAAATTTGACTGAACAAGAACCGATACCAACCTTTTGCTTTGCCTGGTAAGTTGAGAAGGAAAATAGTTGCTCTGACGTCATATCTGCCATTAAAACTTCAGGGTCAGCAGCAGTCTCAAGTATCTTACAAAGTTTTGCCCCTTCATCACCATCATTTATGTCGACAAAAACATCCAATTGCTCAGACATAATAGCCTCTGCAATAGTACATCGTCTGCAGTGTAACCATATATCTCAAGTGAAAAACTAATGCCATTTGCATATCAGATTATGATATTATCATGGAAAATGATGTCAACAAGAGCAGCAAGATATATCTGATTACAATAGTATCATGGAAAATAATGCCCACAAAGAGCAGATAAACTAAATACGAGAAGATGATACGACGTGCAATTGCTAAACAAAATGGATAAAAATTTCCAACAAATGCCGAGGGGAAAAGACTCTGGCAAAAGAATTCATAGTGCATTAGATGGAATGTGACGCAAGTTAATGGCCTCACATATGCACCGAATTCAGGGTTCAGTGTTCTAATTTTGATGTTTTACCTCCTTTAGCATCTTTGGTGCTTTACTGCTTGAATATGTTCATCTAGACCATCTGACAAACGCAAAGACCCCTAAAAGTTGTTCACACCACCTTTTCTACTTGCCAAGAGTTTAGAGAAAACAAAAAAGGACATTATCACCAAAAAAATATAGGATCATCTTATAACGAACGAAGCTGTCTTTTGCCTAGTAACCTACCATGGTAGACCATTAAGACAATACAAATAGTGTAGAGCTATCTGTTCTGCAAAGTTTAAGAACAAGATAAATGAGCACCTCTGGTTGTATATCTGAAGTGCCTTCTTTTCCAATCTTTCTGATCTTACAACATACGCACCGTCAGGAAACCTGAGTCCAGCTTTAATGAAGTTATGCCACTATGATATACACTTGTGCCTAGAGACTTTATCCAGTAGAAAAAACAAGTAGGATACCTCTCCTTGTATAAAACGGGGTAAACCCTTGTAATTCCCACCAACGTTCGGGGGATTTTACCCCCAGAGGCTTTGATGCAGCTAAAAGCCAAAGGAGCAGAAATTCTCTTGCCTCAAAATATTAAGAAAGTAAGAAATGAATCATGCTATAAGAAACATATACGATATGCAATCTGATAACCACAAATTTTCAACAAAAACTACTTACAAAATCCGAGTTTCTCATCCCACTGAGCCCTGTAAGTCCCATTTATATGTATCAGCATATGGACTGTCTTTGATGCCTAAAGAAAAGAAGAAAAAATTGATAAGGCTACAATATTTCAAATTCCAAAGTGTTTACTAGATAGAGCCTTGAAAGAAAAGGGACCTCAAGAGATGAAACAGGTCCAACCCAACCACATAGCCCAGCACCACAAATCTGCAAGTTAAGTTTGGCAACCACATGATTCATTTAGAAATGGCAAAACAAATCACTACACAGCAATATCTAAAATTAAAGGATCCGCCCTACCCGAAGCTTTTGGCCAACAAACAGCTTTCCAGCAGCGAGCTGTTTCGACAGCCATACATCTAGCAAGGCATCCAAAGAGTACCTGAAGAAGTGCGAAGAATTGAACACATGCAGAACTCGGCTTATCTTTTTCATGAGATAAGGGGAAACATTGACTCACCATCCATCAGTTAGTTCTATTCGAGTTTGACAATTAATTTTGGTCACTGTTGAACTACTGTCATAAAGTTTCTTAATATCTTCATCTGGATAATTTGAATCATTTGCTTTTAGCATTGTTGGTCGTGAAGTAGAATGGATTGCTGAAACACATAGAACCATCATAGATGCAGGCGATGCATCCCCATCCAAGATTTTCTTTAGCGCCGATCTATGACCATAGTTTACTTCCCTCTCATACCTGACATCCACAGACAGACATCACAGATATAAAAACTGCATATTATCAAAAAACAAGAGAGTGTGAGTTAAACCTGTATTTCAATTCCTCAAGAACATTGCAAACTGTTAAGAATTTGATTCCAACTTGAGTTGAATAGCATCTCTCGAAAGATGCAAGTTTCCAGACAATCCATCTGTAGTGATTTGCTACCCACCTAATGCATAAATCAATAAAAAGAAAAAAATTAACAATAAAAGCTACAATAGAATTCATCATATCCTTAGCTGGCAGATTTCAGTGCCTTTCATGCACCACTGTAAGGAGGTTTCTGCTATACAAAAAATAAATAAACAGCACAAAAGCAAAAGCATGTAGGAGAAATGGTCTGGACAAGGACTGCACGTATTGGGCATACCAAGGTATGCTGGTTGATATATACAACACAGGCACAACATTGGCTAGCATGGTATGACATGGAAGCATGGCACTGGTTGGCACAATGCTCGTGATAGCCCTACATGCTCAACTATGATGGAATGTTACATGCACAAGGATCATCACGAAATTCAAAATTTTCAGTTGACACAAAACATCCTATTTAATTAGGCTCTAAATACATGTGCGACTAGCCTAAAAATAAGAAATACACATATATTAAATGGACAAAGACAGTGGTTCAAAGACAATAGGAAAAGGTAAGCTAATTTAGATTTTCATTATTTAATGCAAGATAAATACTGTCCAATATGAAGTATACATAGATATTGCATATTTCTATCATGTTCCATGATACATACCATGAGTAATTTTAGTGCAGAATCCGTATAATCCTTAAGTGACCTGTATGGACAAATGCAGAAGCAAAAAATGCAGAATAAAATAAGGAAGCATGTGGTCCACATATGTGTCTGTATGATAATAAGCTTGATACAATTAATAAGCATATTTTAGTGTTGGTTGAATTAGAAATTTTCAGAAACTAGAGAACATAAGCTCAATTGAGCTAAGGTAGGCCTTCTTGACTATTTCTAAATAAAAAAAATAAAGTAGCTGAATGTTTGTCACCTTGGACCTACCAATCTTGTCCTGGTCTTCAACTAAGCAGATCAAATTATCCTAGATAGAAGCTATCATTTATACATAATCGTTAGCCATTACAATGAAGACTTTTCAGTGAGCTTGTCAGATCCATGAAAATGTATGCAAATACAATCTGATGGCCAAACTTGTTTACAGCATATTCCCTTATTACAGAAGATGAATGTGCACTAAAATCAATTAAGATTTTAAAAAAAATGCAAGCTTGAAACTAAGAGTATAACATACTCTTTTGTGGCATTTGATGATGATGCACCAGACTTGAGCAGCATGCCCTGAAAGGCTTCTAATCCAATTTCATCATGATGAAATGCATCATAAAACCTGTAAGTCACAGCATTATCTGCATCCATGTTGCTCACTTCATGTGGCAGGGATCCAGACTGGGTAATGCAGCATTCAACCATGTATGTCAGGTTTTGACAATAGTGACATCATGAACAAAAGATAACAAAAGATGAACTACAATGTATAGCATTAGTACCAAATCTTGGCATGTTGGAGGACCACCAAAGAAGTCCTTAAGATTCTTTCTCTTCAGTTGAAATGGATATCGAGTGGATATCCTACCGCAGTTGCTACTTTCTGTTGTTGATGGTTTGGATGAACCTACAAAGTCAAGGACCTCTAAATACCTTCATCCAAAAATTGGCATTATGACAATTGGTTCTTACGCAGTCCATTCATTTTACCAGTAGCCAAAAGAGAAGTGCTTCCCTTCAAAGGAGTGATGAATCTAGATCATAAATAGAATGATCATATAAAATATAAACAATGGCACAGGTATAATAAAGATAGAAAATAATAGCTCAACATACCTAGAGCTGCGTGGCCTTTTAAATGGAGAAACATAACTCGTTTTGCCAGGTCTTCTCTTCTCGTTGGGAAGCCGATTCATATTCATACAATCTCCAGCTATGTTCGAAATATCAATCAGTGGTCCACCTAAAGACATGCCATCACCATTCTCAATCCTTCTAACAATTTCAACAGCACTACCAGCAGAGAGAAGGTCATCTTTTTCAGGCTTTTGATTGACAGGTGTTTTGTTGCCTGAGTAAATATTCTCCATAGCGAAGCTTCTGGCATTCTCCTGATCTAGAGTATAACTATCAGACTTTATTTTCCGAGTGAGAGAAAACTGCCTTCTCTTGGTAAGAGAAGGTGGGGTCCTTGAGACAAGCTTGCTCATTCCCCCACAATGGGGAGAATGAGGAGATGAGATGTTCTCTTTATTCCAAAATGTGTCGTCGAGATTATTCTTATTTCTTAGAACTGAGGACAAAGGTTGATCTAGTGTGATGTTGTTCTCTGAAGCTTCTATATCTGACTCCCCAAGAAGGTTCCTTGCACATTTTAATGCATCATTAGAAATTGATACATACCTTCCACCGGCAGTTTGGAACTTAACAGGAGACTGTCCACAATCAGAAGAATCCAATTTATGCTCCAGAGTTTTCTGTAGCTGACCATTGGTTAAGTAGCTTCCTGTTGAACAAAATTTATTGATGCAATTTTCTGGACTTCTTTGAACTGAGTTCACATCAACACAGTCAAGAAGACTTGTTCCAGCAGTTTCCTGATTCATGTCCCACCTAAAATTTTCGTGCAACTCTTCTGCAAAATAGATTGATTTCTATGTATCAAACACCAGCTGAAAAAAAAAAACTTGAAAATGATTCTGAGAACAAATATAAGGTCTATTGTTACGTTAACAAGATGCATATAGCTTTAAATGAAAAGATGAAAAAAGCTTTCCTGAGGTAAATTTTTCATGAGCAGTATATATTTAAATGTTATCCATGTGTATCATATTATCCATTTAAAAATTTTAATCTGAAAGATATTGAATTAGTTCCAAATTACAATCAGACAATATGATATGCAGAGATAATATAAATGTATTGATACCAACTACATACACTGTTATTCAACTATTTTTTTAAGTTTCAAATGAGCAGTATATCTGCTTATAGAAACATCATTTGCATTTCATTTTTCTTTACCAGAATGCAATACCGTTTGCATTACAGGGAAAGAGACTTAAGAAACAGCACATTTCATGGATTCCCATGCATAGATACATTGCTCACTTAACAGATTCTCCCTCTGCATATACATGGATGAATATATATGTGCTTGTGATAAATGTCTGCTTTAATGAGCAGTTGTATTGCAAAATAAAAGGTATTTTTCAATGTGAAAGAAAAGAGTAGTGCATAGCAAAGTTAATATTGACAGTGACCTGTCTTTGGATTGCTTCCATCAATAATAGACAGTGCCTTTTCAGTTGAAGGATTGAGTAAAACTGATTTTTCATGCCCATCATGATTGTTTCTGCCACATTGCAGAGGATTTGGAGATTCTGTACATGAGCAAAATATTCAGCGAATAGTGCCTAATACAAGTGAGAAAAAATACTTCTAAAAGGGAAATACAAAAAATCAATTATTGTAACAGCAAAGTTGGGGGGTGCAGAGTAGTAGAATTTAAATCTACCTTCCAATCAAGCACATGCATGGTCCTACAATCTACTTGGAACATGTTATATGTTGTATTATATGTGTAAGCAATCATGTAACTTGTAAATTCAAGGAATAGAAAGGGCTGGATGGACCTTCTAATGTTCTTTGCAGTTTGTGCAACCAAATCATGCAATTTCATATTCCAAGCACAATTTGGAGATATGATGGTATGGATCCCCCGACACATAACAGGAATTCCTCCACTGTGGGTGAGACTGTGTTCCAGATCACCTTACTTAAAAGATTCTATGGTATCCACGATAATCAAGTGTTACAAGGAAGTAACCACTTGTGTAATCCATGTGCAACTCTTACATCAAGAAACTTAGCCAGGAAGCCTACTCTCTTGTATTTCTTTCTTCCCATTGACTAAGAAGGAAAGATGTATGCACATCAACTCTAGGTTTTTTCTCAACAGTTATCAAGCACAATAAAAGCATCACATTAACTTAAGAATTTTATCTTGCATTCTTTTTTTTCAAGGGAAGATGTCCGTATCACATGAACCATTTTCCATGTCAATAATGTAAATCCATTTGAGCAGATCTCTCTAAACTGTTTACACAACCATAAGTGTGTTACATATGAATCACTTTCTCTTGAGAAATCTTCTAGGGTTCACAAAGAATGATACATTTGCTGATGTCATCTAAAAGCAACTTTACGAAAATCATGTTACCACCACTGTTAGACTTGGACCTCTGGTATTGAAGAATTTATTACAAAAGATATACAGAAAGATATATAACTGAAATGCATCAGCAACACAAACATAAGAAATTGGCCATAAAGCTTTAATACACAAAGAAAAGATTACAACTTAATCACCTTTCTCCATATTTTCTCCTATAAAGATAGCTGCTGCCTTTCTAATTGAAGATTCTTTTACTGTGACTGGCTTTCCTGATCCAGTACTAAACATCGGAAACAGCTCATCTTTGGCACCAACATCCAAAGTTACCTTATCCCCTAAGAGGAAGAACAGCATTGTAAACAGAGATTTATTTTTTTCTGAGTATCAATGGAACAACATCTTAACACAAACAGATATTGCAAACACTGTACACTAATATAAAGTAAATTCATCCAATAAAGGTATTTCACTACTTCAACAACATCACACCTGCTGCATTAATAGTTTGTGGTTGTTCAAAAAGAAAAGGCAGTTATATTTTCTACTAGAAAGACAAGTGTATATGAGCAACACAGCAAAAGTATTTCTCCAACCAGAGCACTAATGAAAAGTCACTATAGTGACAAGACCAGTTCTGAAACCAAATACATCTGAATCTAAAAGACCTCTGTTGCAGGAGAGTCTATGTTCTAGATTATCTTCTCTCTTTTCATGAACACGAAGGAAGGCAAGTTATCTTCTAAGCACTGTTGTGAGATCTTCTAAGCTGGTAAGATGTATGCACATAAAATATGTTCTTCTATCAATGGTTAATGCTTATAAGAACCTTTTTATGCTGATAAGTCAATATTTGGTCATCTTTGGTACGACCCATAGACTCGCGAGGAATTGTCCGTTTTGGGCATGCCCGTATGTTTTTGTCCTTTCGGACTCGCGAGCCTCAAAAGATGCCTCTGAGGGTAAGAGTGACCCGAAAGGTTTACAAGCCCTTGATTCCCTTACTCCTCAACTAATGTGAGACTAAATGTTCTTATCAGTGCTCCCTCCCGTAAGGGAGCTAAAAGCTCAGAGCCCTTTTTCTAGCACTAATTTGATAAGTCAACACTTGATCATCATTGGTGTGACCTCATAGGCTCGCGAGGAATTATCCGTTTTGGACATGCCCGCACAATTTTGCTCTCTCAGAGCTCATGAGCCCCAAAAGGTATCTCTAAAAGTAAGGGTGAGGGGGCTTATAAGTCCTTGGTTTCCTTATTCCACAACCAATATGAGACTAAATATCCTTCATCATATGTTAAGCTTTTGAAGTTGTTTTCATCCTTGTTAATTTTGGTTTCGAAAGAACAATAATATGAGTAGCAGAACAGGAGTTTCTCTGTTTAAGCAAATAATATCATTCTGTATATACTCTAGCAATTTAAAAATGAGACTTCAATCATGGATGATATTTAAGTAGAGAAAAACAACCAACATACCTTTATTTATACCATTTCCTTCAAGAACAACTGCTGCTTTCCTAAGTGAAGATTCTTTTATAGTAACTGACTTCCCAGATCCAGTACGAAACAGTGGAAATCGATCATCTTGACCACCTGAAGTTGTTTCAATCCCTAGAAGGAAACAAGAAAATTACTTATATAAACTAAATAAATTCATTATTTTTTTCTGAACCCTAACAAAATTATTCCACAATACTTTTCCAATATTAGTAATTAAGTATACTGCTAATATAATTTTACAACCGTCATAAAAGAACACGATAATAGCATACCATGTCTTATTGATCCACTTGTGTCCATATCGCCCGCTCCTCCGAGAACAGACCTCGCCTTCCTGATGGAACTCTCGCTCACCGAAACTGCTCTCCCGGTTCCCGTCCGAAACATCGGAAGCCTCTCTCCATCTCCACGGCCACCATCTCCACCCTCCGGAAGCTTCGGACGAGCTAAGATTTGAAGGAGAAGGTACATCACAACGAAAGGTCTCAGATCCAACATGTCAGGCGCGAAAGCGAAAGATCGAAAGGGAGAAACCTAGGGTCGAGAGATCCGCCATGGAAGGGAGGCGATGATCGGGGTGGCTATCCACTCCGCGTGCTAGGGTTCGGAGCGGCGGCTCCGGTTGCACGCCGGGATCCCCGGCAGCGGCGGCCCACTGGAAGTGACCATCGGCGGTAGGAAGTATCTCCCATGTTGGGAGGTCCGTCGGCGGCGGCGGCGGCATCATTTGGCTCTGGAGGCTTCTCTTTCCCCTGTCACTTCAAGAGACGAGAGCGAGAGGAAGGCCAAATGAAATATTTTGGAGCGCGACGACGGAGAAGCGAAGGCGGGAAAGCGCTACTAATTTTGAGTGGCGGATTTGGGCGGGTCCCATAAGCTCTGTTCGGATCGATTGCCTATGACTCATTTCATATGATATTTCTAAACGACTGTATTGTTATCGGAGAGTCGATAATATATACCATATTTTCTTTCTCATAAGTGGCTGAAAGAAAATTATTTTAATTGAATTAAAAGTTTCCTAAAATCCCACTTCAAATTACAATTCATTTTTTATTTATCAAACGCGCTCCAATCCATTTTCAACAGAAACTACAGTACATCAAATGGACTCCCATAGCCATCTCAAACTTATGTATTATTTGTAGGACGATTTTTTATAAAATATTTCTATTTTAGGTATTTTCTAAATGACATCTTATCTTTTGTTTTTTTTCCCATGGAGATTAATATTTATAGTTCTTTTTAATTATTTAAAATCTTATGTTAAGAACTTTGAATTTTTTTTTATAGATCGATATATATATATATATACACTTACTTTATAACTTAATTTTAATTAAAAATTATCTCATTACTTATGACCTATTTTTTTTCTTTTCCTCCTCCTCTTAATTGTTAGACATGATATAAAATAATTAAAAAAAAAGATAGATGATGAAATGATACGAACTAAAGTTCGAATAGAAAATTATGAAAAAAGGTTGTTGACATTTATTATAATAATTTAATATTTTTAAGATTATATGCATTCTGTAACAACTCAAAAAACATCATCTTGTATGTTACTTGTATTAATAAAAAATATATCATATTTTAAACATTTACAAATTATCAAATATAATACATGGGTGATGGAGAGAGTCAACTACAATATTAGTAGAATAAAATTATAAAGGTTATTATTAGGATCAAGTCGGTACTAAGAGGAGGGGTGAATTAGTACTATTTAAAAATCTTCGTACGATAAAAATCGATTTCGAAATATGTTAACTTTAAAGCGTATGAGAGCGTAATGTAAGTAAGGATTCAGTTTGTAATAAAGATAAACAGCAAGAAGTAAATACAAACTAGATTTTTATAGTGGTTCGATCATCGTAACCTATATCCATTCCATTAATTCCTCTTCTGTCGAGGCCACCAGCATCCACTAACGATCTTCATTTAATAGGCAGAGACCAACAACCTTCTTACAACTCTATTCTCCTTTTACAGACTTTAAGATAACCTTTACACTCTCATGATCTCCTCTCTTAAACTTCACCAACATTTAGAGTTTGAGAGGAATTTACACAAGAATTCAACAGCGTTTTCTTTTCTTTTTGCTATCAGTTGTGTGTTAGTTAACCAGGGATGAGAGAGGTAATTGTATGCCTCAAGTGGATTCAAACTTGGAGCATATAAGTGTTTCATCCCAGGTTTCCGGGTCCTAGCGATACCATCGCCTGACACCCTACCATTGGGCAGTACCATTGCCTGACAGCCTCAGAGATTGAGTTTGGGCGGTACCATCGCCTAACACGGTCTTAAGACTGTGTCACGACGGTTTCACCCGTTAGGTTACTGTTTGAGCCATTTCTCTTGGCCCAACACAGCCTAAACTTTGGCCCAACTGGCCCACATTTGAATTGGATCAATTCTAACTCGATTATGTGCTAATTACGAATTTTAAAGTATATACTAAGCTAAATAAGTTCGGTAAGTCTATGTTTCTTCTGGCGATCTTCCGGTAAACTTCCGACAATCTCTCGGCAATGTTCCGACGGACTCCCGACAAGCTCCTAGACTTCACGATGATCTTCTCGGCGAGTTCCAACGAGCTTCTTTGGCAAGCTCATTGACTTCTCGGTCAATTCCGGTAGAACCTTCGATGAACATCTAGACTTCCGACGAACTCTCGAATTCCCAAAATCTCGAACTTCTTGATCGCTATCATAGTTAATCCTACACACTTAAAACCTTCTTCGATATAGACAATTATTATAAAGCTAATCAAATGTTGTTCGACATGTCATTTGTTTATTAACGCTTCGTTCGAATCTTCGGTGCATCGTCCTTTCTTGTGGCCTATTGTCCAAAAGGCCAGTTAACCTCTGCAACTACGATATCTTTGATGTAATTTCCGCTCTTCTTGGGTCGATGCCCAAACTCATGGCCTGAAGCCTTATGCCGATACGTCGACCGATCCTTCAGTGTGACGTCTAATCTTCTAATATGTTTTCCTCTAGGTCAACATGATTCTTCATACTTTAATTGTCCATCATTGATCAAAACTTCCTACGTCACTTAAAACGCAGGTCAAATCCTATACACTATAAATTGATTTCATCTTCAAAATACGAGATTCAACGATTATGAATAATAAAATATTATTTTATTAAAATTCTAAGAGATTATAAATATTAAGTGATCGTGAATAGTAAGGAAGGGCTTTAAATGATAAGTTCCTTTCATAAACAATATAAAATTTTATCAAAATTTTCCTTTTTTTAACCAATTTACAACCGTTACAATGTTTTCATTTGATTCATTTATGATTTTTAAAAATAATATTTATAAAATTTTATTGATATATTGAAAATACTAAAAATATTATGAAAAGACACTATAAGTGACATTACATCGTGTCTCTATCTCTTTGAATGTCATTGTCTATAAATCATTATAATATTATAAATTTAGGATTGTACTTAATTTGGTTGAGGTTAGAAGTTTATTTAGATAATTTATAATATTTACAAGTAGGCAATATTTTTATTATTGTGGCCAAAACGGTCGGAAAAAACTGTAAGAGACAAAAAATAAATAAATAATTTAAATATTTAAAAAATTAGAGATACTATTTCAAAAAAATAAAATAAGATATATCGATTGAAAAATAATTAAAATATAAATATTTTCTAGAGCAATCACCCTTATTTGTATGATACCAAGAAAGAAGTGAAAACAAAGAAAACGTCACGTTATATATCGTGTTGACATCGAAGACCTAATTGACATGTCGTTATGATCAAACCTAATAATTTTAATTTATCAAGATAATAATTATAATTAAAGAATAGTGCATCCATCGGAAGGATTTTGTGCAATGTATTAAATATTTAGTCTTTTATTTACCTTATAAGACGCTACACGTGGAATTCCAAATTAGATCTTAACTAGCACAACAATCATCGCATAGCGACGTAAAGACTTTCTTTCGACCCATCAATCCTGACCTTCCGTCCGATATCGGACGGATAAGCTCCAAGGGCGATCCTCGACCGTCCGTCGTCGAACCCGTGGGTCCGCGAAACGTACACGTAGAGAGATGCGCGACACACCACGTGCGTAAACGTCAGCGCCCACGTGTACGGCGCGGGTATATACCATGTCAGCTATAGCAGCTACGCAACAGCTTATGTACGTACCAGCAGCTCATCGTCTTTCTGGAAGCTTCGCATCGACACGCGCCGAGTTCGCGTCGCAGTCGGCGACACGGCGCCTCCCACGTGACAACTAGGATTTCGCGACCCCTATATAAGAAGCAGGGGGTGAACCCTTCGTCTTTCATCGTATCAGAAAATTAGTTGAGCCCCTCAAGGTGGAGGGACAGTAGCCCTAATCCGAGGAGGAGGAAAGAACAGCATGGTCATGATGATGATGGAGCCTAATAGGTAAAGAAGAGGTTTATTTCACGCTCTCTGTTTTCTACGATTTGTTGGTTAAAGGCTTCTTCTCTCGATCATGTTCTCCATCGGAATCAGATGTGGCTTGTTGGTCGTGTTAATTGTCTGCTTTCTCTTTGTCGTTGGAACTTGCTTTTCGCGAAGCAACTTGGTCGAGACAAGTCTAGGTTTATTTTTTTCCTTTCGTTTTATTGTCGCAGACGACAGAGGGCGATTGAGCCGTGGGATCTTGTGAGGCTATGCGAGCGCAACGATTTGGCTCTCTGATTCGCTTTGGGAACATAGATCAAGGTTTTGTTCTCCTCTAGAATAGTTAGAGACTTTTAGGTAAAAAATAGATCGCTGGTGATGCGACTTCATCATCCTACAATTTGTGATGCAGCTGATTGTTTCTTTTAAATTTATATATGTCAATTTTTTGACTGATTGTTGTGAGCGAGTTTTCCACCAAGAGAATAGCTAGCTTAGGATTGAGATTGACCTGAGTCTTTTGTCTTTTTGTTTCACCTTGTCCGGGAAGTAAGGTCTTGCTTCTTTTTGAGGGTCTCCTGCCTTGTAATAATTAGAAAGCTGAAGGATTCAGCTAAGTAAATGCTTTTTATGCTTTGTGTCTCTTTGGATGCCAATGTTGCCATGTTTGAGGCAAGCCAATAGTATTTTGGTTGCTTTAGATTTTTCATCAGTCATCATCTCTGTATTTTTGTTAAAGCATTATGGACTCACCATGTCATGGATGCTTGATACTCTAGTCTCAGTTTCGTTATGATGTCAAATTATGGAAGTGATAATTGGAAGTTGATATCATTATGTTACTATTTGATATCTGCCGGTGTAATTTTTTTAAACATGCCATTGAAGATAAGTTGAAGGTTAGATTAGGAGGTTGCTTCTTCTTTAGGAAGAAGGTCATTTAAATCAAGGGAAAGGTTGTTGTTGTTTAACCCATATAATTGTGCCTTCGTTTCTTCCTGAACTTTGCTATGCTAGTAAACCGAGGAGTGCATGAGGTTTTTTTGTTTTTTGTTTCCTCTCTCTCTCTCTGTTGCACGTGTATTGTCCGAACAATGTGGGTTTTTGCATCGAGAAAGAACCTGACATTCATCCCATTGGTGAATATGGGCTTAGAATCTAATGGTTTCTATTTGGACACAGAGAGAGGTTCTTTGTGAAACTAGCGTTCCAGAGACTTTAATTGAAGAATCTGCGGTGGTACGATCAACTGTTTTTGGACCAATTTATTGGTCTTTTCCCTGGCTGTGGCTTTATCAGTTGTCATGCACAACTCAAGCGTGACTCAAACTACATTATCTATAGATGTCAAGAACACCGATAAATTGGGACGTAGTCGTGCCACAAAGGATTCTTTAGTAGTTATATGGATGGTAATTTTTGTCGCATGACAAATTTATTGGCTCCTTCAGAGGAACTACATAAGTTATAGATGTTTGTGGTTTGATCTTGAGTTGTTGTGTTAAGAGTCAATAGGTGTTACATGATGACTTAAGTTTGCTAGAACGTCATGCGTAGCTTGATTACAGAGTTGGAAGAGCATCGATCTTGAGAGTAGCTCCCTGACCTGAGTTCTCTCTGTGTTCATCTATTCTGTTATTGAAATGTGAATACTTACTCTTTTCGTTGTTGTTAATGTTTATTTATGTTTTCTGCTGTTTTACCTGAGTGCTAAATCTGTTTGCCCTTTTTTTCAGGACAAGGAAAGTACGCAGGGGGAGGAATGGCTCTCATTCTGTGGCAGAGACTATTGCTCGGTGGAGAGAGCATAATCGCCAGCTTCAGTGTTCCATTGATGATGAAAAGCGAATTCGAAAACCTCCGGCAAAGGGATCAAAGAAAGGTTGCATGCGAGGCAAAGGAGGACCGGAAAACCGCAGTTGTAGATACCGCGGTGTAAGACAGCGCACCTGGGGCAAGTGGGTTGCTGAGATTCGAGAACCAAATCGCGGTAATCGCCTTTGGTTGGGAACCTTCCCAACTGCAGTCCAAGCTGCTCTAGCTTACGATGATGCTGCAAGAGCCATGTATGGAACTTCAGCCCGCATCAATCTGCCTGGAGTTGTGAGGAGGGATTCGAGCGAGTCTACCACAACCTTGCATCATTCCGATGCGATTGGTGCCTCCGTGTCCAGTGCAGACCAAATCAAATTTCTTATTACCAAGCTGAAAGATGAGGCTCATTCCGATCGTATGAATGTCTCTGGCTCCCGGGAGAGCATTATCGAGTTTCCAACAGTGGAATTAGAAGATGAGGGTGGACGTAATGAGGAACCATCATTCGTAGCTGATGCTTGCAATGTGGAGCTTTATCAGTCTGATGCACCTGAAGGTGAATTCTCCATAGAAGATATGCTGAGAATTATGGGCGCCGATACTGACAACAGTGACGCTGACCATTTTGGTGCTGTTGGTAGAGAAACAAACTGGCAGTGCACTGATCCTGTGGACATGTCGTTGGACGTTAGGCATACAGATGCCCCAACAGTATGGGACATTGAGCAAAATCCTTTTGACTATAGCGATACTCTTTTAAGGTCCCTGGGTGAAGACTGGGAATACGGCCCGGGGGAAACGCCCAATACTGTGGACTTTGGAATTTCTTGTGCAGACTTGCTTTCAAGCCCCGAGAGATGGTACAAATCTTAGAAGATCCGTCGTTCTCCTATTCAGCATAGTTTCTCGTTCTCTGTGTATTTTTTCTAGGAGGCGAGAATTGTTCTGTCTTCCTTCCCTTTCTGTCGTCCTTTTGGCGAGTGCGAGGTCTTAGGCATTTTGTTTTATATAAGCTTTGTATAGCTTTCCGCTATAATGAGTTGCTGTAGATTATGTCGGTCTTATGCTTAAACTTGTGTCTTCACTGTGGAATTTTGGATTTTAGGGATCTCCTTGGAGGATTTGCTGCAAGGCTCGTTATCGTCACGTAAGTGACATGCTATTTCCATTCCTTCAGATATATCAATATATAATAACAAAAAAATAAATATTGTCAACCAAGAGTCGACGATCCAAAATGCAACATTTCTCACATAATAATCCAAGTTGACGTGGCCACCCATGTCACCCCGTGGGTGCCACATTCTCATGTAGATATGGGCACCCATGGCTCGCGGAACCTCCACAACATCAAGATCAAGATCAGAGAACAGAAGGCTACGGTAGAAGGCTACGGTGCGCGTGGGCCCGCGCGACGTATTTTAACTGTGCTAAGTAGACCCTCTTCCGCCTTCCCGTGGACACGCTCTCTCTCTCTCTCTCTCCCTCCCGGAACCCTACGTATCTTCCCCCTTTCGCCAGTCGCCAAACACGAAAACCCTAATCAAAGGGTTCGATGGCCGCCAGATTTGGCCTGGCTGGAGGCATTCCAGAGAGTTGGGTCCGGCCGATACGGGACGCCGACGACTCCCGCGAGTCCAAGGCCGCGTTCAAGCTCGCTACCGGACTTTGTTGCCAAGTACCCCGCCTCGCCTTACGCCCTCGTGAGTATCTCTCCCCGTCATTCGTCGGTCGTTCCTGCTTTTTCTTAGGCTCTGCCGTAACTTGTTGCCGTGTATGCCACGGCCTATTGATCTCTCGGTGTTCTTGAAACGTAGGATGTAATCCGAATCAAAGGGTTGAGTTCGTGGGGTTTCTTGAGTCTTTATCTCTCTCTCCCCTCTCTCTCTTCGTTCGTTCCACGTGATCTTGGGCCCTGCTGCAGTCTACGGTCGCGTTTGCCCTTGGAGCCTTGGTTAGTCGGGTGTTCTTGGAATGACTTCGTGGTGTCTCTCTCTCCCTCTCTCTCTCTCTTTCTCTTTCTGTCTCTCTCTCTCTCTCTTTCTCTTTCTCTTTCTCTTTCTGTCTGTCTGTCTCTCTCTCTTCCTCTTTCTCTTTCTGTCTCTCTCTCTCTCTCTTCCTCTTTCTCTTTCTGTCTCTCTCTCTGTCTCTCCACTGGTGCCACGTGTTCGGACCCTGCCGCAGTCCGCCGTCGCGTTTGGCCCTGGAGTCTTGATCATTCCTCGTTCTCGAAACATGGAATCTGATCCGGACCAAGGAAATGAGTTCCTGGCGTTTCAGTCCTCGTCTGTTTTACCCTTTCTTGACTCGTTCCCTGTGTTCTTCGACCCTGCTGCTGTCCATCGTCGCGTTTGTCCCTTGCGCCTTGATCAGTCAGTTGGCGTTCTCGAAACCTGGAGCCTAATCCCTATTCGGGACATAAGCCCGTTGGCGTTTCTTGATTTTCTTGCCTGTATTTGTTGGTCTTTTCGCGTGTTTAAGGAAAAGAAAGGGTCTCTTTATTTACATGCAACGGAGTATTTAGGGTAGTGATATAATGTTACGGTACATATAATCATCAAAGATGAGCAATAAACATAATGTATATTGGGTAGTGATTACATTAAATCATGTTTCTTAAGATAGGAAAGAACATATGTTTTGAAATTTTCAATGCACTATATTAATTGGGTTTTCAAGCTTGTTAGGCATGCCTAAGTTCTATGTTATGAATGCTACATCTTTCTCATGTGTACTATTTTTTTTCTCTCAGGAACCTACAATTTCAGTTGTATTATAATATTCTAACTCTACTACTAGGTTATTTTTATGATTTTTATTAAATAATTCTCTTCATCGGTCTGTATCTTTTTTGAACCATTTCGATTTTAATCTGTTTGCATCTTTCTTTATTCTAGTAGAACGATAATGCCTTTCTCATTTTTTTCACCACCATCAGCCTCTGCCTTGCTAATAAATCTCATATGTTTGTTTTTATTTGATTTTGTATTCTTTTACATTTGAGCCAAGCTCTAAACTACATTGCTCAATAACCAAATCTCCCTCGAAGTTAGGCTACTGCCTTATTAGCTCTCCCATCTCTTTTTTGGGCAACTCCTTGATGTGGGTGTATCAAGACGGTCTAGTAATCAAATTAAAACGATATTGCTATGAGGGACTGGCTGCGTAGAAGGAGTTATAGTTTTTGAGATATTGGAAAATTTAAATAACTCATGGAGCACACACAAAGAAATACATTATAAGTAAAGTTCTGAAGGCAAATGTGACAATTTTTGAAATATTTATCATATATGGAGAATTATTATGTGGTCTTTGTTTATATTTTAAAAAACATAAGGTGCATAAAGTTTTAGAATTGTCTAGATGTATATAAAACATAAGGTTCTGCATAGTGTTTTTTCGAGCAATACGGGTTAATGATTTCAGGTCCTTGTCTTTCAGTTTTAATGTGTAAAAAGAAAGAAAGAAAGGCATGACTGGCTGAGTTTGGGTCAGGCCAACATTTGAGCAAGGGCTGCAAAATCAGTAAATGGTCCTGTAGGGACGGGTGTATGAGTGCGTGGCTGGCGTATCAGGTCCTTTTTAATGGCAATGGTTGCCTTTGTGATGTCCTGCAACTGATTGTGAGTCAATAGCCACAGAGAAAATGCAATGGTCCATACATGCCTTGTTATTGGTGGCATGGTGGCTGGCCAGACCTGAGGGGTCCTGGACTATCCAAAACTATGTTTAAAAAAGGTCCAGCCTCTTTTATGTGATTGGAGACAGCAGAACAACATGGGCGGATTTAGTCTAAAATTTGTTGCCGTAGGTTTTAACTCTAAAAATTTCTTATTAATCTTTTGCTGATGATCCATGCCAATTACAATTTCCAGCGTGGTTATGATTTTCTTCTCTAGTTAGTCACTGGTGGCTGTACTTTTCCACAACTTCACCTGTTAGATTGGTGTTAAAGCCTTCTTTTCTGGTATTTGCTCTATATGATTTCATGAAGGTAGTTATCTGTGCTTTTTCAATTTATTATTTTGTTTATGATGTATCTGTCATCCTATAAATCTGTCAAAAATCAGCATATTTTTTAATTTGTGCTCATGTGCATTAGAGGTTAGATATATTACATAAGTTTCCCTTTTTAATGCATCTTCTGTTTGCTTATATTGATATCTCGGTCATTTTATCAATTGGTGTCCAATGTCCATGCTTTCTGTAGCATTCCAATGGGACTCTTTTATTATTTTGTGCTCATGTGCATTAGAGGTTGAGGTTAGAACTCTTTTATTATTGATATCTCGGTCATTTTATCAATTGGTGCCCAATGTCCATGCTTTCTGTAGCATTCCAATAGAACTCTTTTTTTATTTTGTGCTCGTGTGCATTAGAGGTTAGAAGTTAGAACTCTTTTATTATTGATATCTCGGTCATTTTATCAATTGGTGTCCAATGTCCATGCTTTCTGTACCAATAGAACTCTTTTATTATTGATATCTCGGTCATTTTATCAATTAGTGTCCAATGTCCATGCTTTCTGTAGCATTCCAATAGAACTTTTTTTGCTCTTTCATTTATTTTGAATAGAACCGCTTATATCTGCAGAGAAATGTTTTTCCTTTCCACATTAAATTTAAAGATGTTGGATGTACAATTTTATTAGTCAGTTTGTTCAACTTGCTTTTAGTACATGACTGTTATTTTCATTACTTTCTTAAATTAAAGACAGCGTTAAAGAAAGACATGCATGGAGAAGAGTTTGTGTCAAGCAGGTTTTTTTTAATTTTATACTGATCGCCAGATATCTATCGATCCGTCAATCGATCGATCGTCAACATATGATCGCTCGCTACTGGATGGACGGTATCAGATTTTTTTTTGTTCCGTATCAAAATGGGGCATACCAAGTGATATCATAGATTTTTGCTTTTAATGCTGATTGTTAGAATTTCTTGTTAAACCAAAAATTTTTGGTAGTGTTGATGGAGTCTCAAAGAGGATTACTTGAACTCATTGGATTGAAATAAAAGCATAAAACTGCTGAAATTTTAGAAACAATACATAAAATTTAAATATGTACATAAAACTTTTGTATGTACATAATATGTACATACAAAAGTTATAAATTTAAATATGTACATATTATCCTCCTTTATGTACATAATATGTACATACAGGAGGATAGTATGTACATAAAACAGTACAGTCATTGTCCAATACTTCAGATTTATAAATTTAAACATCATTTTTAGCTAAAACTTATAGGAATTATTATGAGATACTTTTAAAGAAAAATCAGTTTATGATAAGATGAACCATATATTTCAGCTTTTGATGTTAAGTCATGTAATTTTTTTAAAAAGTATTTTTAAATGGATTTAAGTATTTTTAGACATTGATATTATATCGAATCAAATAAATCTTGATATATTGGTACGGTACAAAATTTAAAAAAATATATAAAATTTTAGATATTTTGACTTTTTTAAAGAAATCTTGAACGTATTACCAACTAAAATAACTGTTTTAAAGTGATTAATGCATGTCACCATGAGACCAATTTTTTTTTTAATCTTGCTTGATTTGATGATACACATTTTAAAGTGATTAATGCATGCCCAAGTTTATGTTAAAATTTCTTTCTTCTAATTATGTTTTATGTTTTTTCTAATTTTTCGGGATGCATATTGTAGACATCATGTGAAAATAGATGATATACTAAAAGTAACAAAGATTGCTGGAGGATCAACTGTTTTTATGCATTTATGTAATGGACTGTGAGTGCTGATGGACGTATTTAACCAACACGTAATTTTGTAGTACGTTATACTAGTATCGAGGAAGAAATTGGTATTTGTTTTCGGTGATTAATTAGTTAATCTGTGAAATGATGTATCAACCTTTTTTTGCCTAAATTGAATAAAATAATTTATAGAGAAACATTATATTTTAAATTGTATGATGATATTATCCAAACTTGACATTGAGCATGTCGATATTTAATTTTAAATATAATTTGTCTTCGTGTCATGATAGTTTTGCTGAAGATGAGTTAGTTCCCTATTATTAATTATTTTCTGTTATGTTGAACAGACATCGGACATACTCTGATAATTTTCGTGTCATGGTGACTCCTTTTGCAGGTACAATACACGGGAAGGAAGAGGGATGGAGTGGGGACTAACAGAGGAGGAAGGAGGTGAACTGGTAGGGGGAAGGAAGGAGACGAGAGAAGAGGGAGGTGAAGGGAGGGATGAGGAGTGGAGGGAGGGGATGAGAAGGAAGGAGAGGAGAGAAGAGGGGGAGGGAAGGAGAGAAGAGGGAATGAGGAGTGGAAGGAGGGAGGATGAGGAGGGGGAGGGAGGGGATGAGAAGGAAGGAGAGGAGGGGGAGGAGGGGAAGAGGAGGGACAGGGACAGGGGGTGAGAAGGAGAGATTCCCCCTCGCTCCGCCTCATCTCCTCTCCTTCTCACCCCCTCACTCTCCCCTCTCTCCTCTCCCTCCCCCCCTCTTTCTCCCCTCTCCTCCTCTTCTCTCCTCTTTCTCCTCTCCTCTTCCCCCTCACTCTCCCTCTCCTCCCTCTTCTCTCCTCCTCACCCCTCTACTTTCCTCCTCTCCCCCCTCCCTTTCTCACACCCCAAGTTACAGAAGAAGTGGGATTTTTTTTTATTTTTTAATATCATTGTAATTTTTAGTACTGTTTAATTCATAAACAAATGTTGTACCCTTATCAAAATCCGTCAATACAATAAAATATTTTTTCTTTAGTGATTCAAAACCGACTGAACTAAGCCATAGGATAAACAATTGCTTAGAAACACAACCCTTTCACTAGAAATGACGTACACAATCAATCCTTCGATAGAAATGAAGATTTTTAATATCATTTGACACACAAAATTAAAATTAATGAGTATCAAAATTATTGAAGTTGCACATGTTTCATGTTTAAAGATTATACTTCAAAAATTTTAACACCTAAAATAGTATAACTAAATAATAGATTAGACAAAATGAACAATTTGGCAATAGAATCAAACAAAATATAATAAATGCTACACATGATTCCTGTTAGGGATATAACAAAATGATAAGAGCAACATTGGTAAGGTAATATTCACATGTATGGCAACAATAGAAGAACTGGGCAACTCGTCATATCCCTCCATAGGTATAATGGATGTACTGTACTAACATATTTTCGTCAATGAGCGACATCACTTAGAAGAGCTAAATGACAAATAATTAGGACAATGATCGAACAAGTTTTAAATCCTCTCAGAAGTTAATTTTGAACATGCAAACTTTTAGGCACACAGCTAATTCTGACGCCACAACAGTAAGGACGAAAACAGTACTTCCAGAAAGCTATTTTAGTGAATAATAAGATAAGCACATTTTTCATCGATATCAATCAAGTCACCACAACAGTGACTAAATATCATAATTGTTTTTCGTCTATTAATCAATTAAAAAATCCACTATCTTCAACCAACAAATAAAGAATCCTCTTTCCCAATCAAGAGAATAATAATGTAAAAAGATGTTGATGCCCATTCCAAGCTACCAATAGATAGCAACAATTCAATGATGTAGCGAGGAACAACATTGTTCGAACATATGACTTGCAAGACTATGAATTTCAAACTTTTGTCCTGTAATAAAATTATATGACTCAATCTTTCCCTACATTTTTAAAATGCATGAAAAGTTTTGTATATCTACAGGAAAACACATCAGGGCCGAGGGTTTAAACAATTATCTCAGCTTCTTGCCACACTGGATGTTAATGGAAGCCTATTTTCTTTGAGACACAATTGAGTTCAGATGCAACTTCTTACAAAACCAAGCTAGTAGCCACATCTAAAGATCAGAAATATGATTCACAGAAAAAAAAAAAAGACTCTTTCAAAAGTGAAAGAAAGATAAGGGAAGACAACTTAACACGTTCTGATTATGGCATCTATTTCTAACAGTATTACAAGAACAATTCCCCATCTCACCCTCAATCTACTGAGAATCATGTTATGTAAGTCGTAACGTTACAAAACCTTGTGTTTGTAAGTAAAGAAATTGAAATGATGTTGCTAGGAACTCAAAATGGCAAAAGTTAAAGAGATAACAAAAATGAGGTCAAAGCATCCATAACTATCATAGCTCATTTGTCATGTCATCCTTAGACATCCATCTTTAGAACACATACCAGTATAATTTTTAGTGGTTGTTTGTTTTTATAATCTTAGAATCTAATAAGAATGAGAACAAGAAGAAATAGAACTTATAACATAACATAGTTTAACGCAGGAACTTGTTACAGTATTATCACAGCACACATGCACACACAAAGTTAAAAAATTAAAATCAAAATATGGATAAAAAAATATAGACGAAAGTGTCGAAGTCTATGCCAAAAGAAATATAAGCTACAACTAAATAAATATAAAAAAAACATTATCTTAAACTAATAATTCCAAACTTTTTAACAAAAATCTTCCAAATTTTACTACTAATCTATCCTTACCTCTAAAGTTTTCAATTATCATTTTAAGGTAAAATTCTAATGATTAAATATGTATATATATATATATATATGTATACATACATATATATATATATATATCTATATGTATACATATATATATATATATATGTATACATATATATATATATATATGTATATACATATATACAATACAATACATCATTTTTTAACCATGAAGAATTACCATACACTTGATAATTTCAACAATCAACTTATTTGAATGGTGTAAAAAAATATAAATATTCCTGAACTGTCTAACTCAACCTTTATTTTTTCAGGTACTGTATCCAATATCAACACCCTGTAAACATTTTATATTTCAAAAACACCATTTTCTATTTAAAAATTTCATTATCTAAATCATCAACTAATGTTTACAAAGTATTTTTATGTATATATAATATATTTAGTAACAATAACAATTTATTAATTTATGTCATTATTCTTTGCTTCTATTTCTCATCTTCTCTTATACCAACATTAACAAATAAAAAGACAAAAATATTTGCAATTGGTTTGGCTAGTGATCCTAGCAGACTTAAGCGGTAAAAGATATAGTTGATATAGCATGACTTTATTTTTGTTAATATTTAAAAAAATTATAACCTTTCCTAAACGGCCTTGACAAGTAAATCTAATGGAGTTCATCATGATTGAAAATTGAGAGGCCACCTTTGCTTTTGATTCTGATCCTGTAAGTTATTGGTTGAAAAAGTCTAATCAGATTGTTCTATTAAGTGAAAAAAGGTAGCTAAGGTCAGCAATGCTAATTTTTGTTAACTACGGCTGACAAGAAATTTGTAGAGTACTTTTAACGTTGGTGAACTCATGACAATTGCAAGTATTCACCAGGGGAACACTCCGATGCAGGAGCTTGATTCTTGGGAGGGTAACAAGCAAATTCTTCACCAAAACAAAATAAAGGAAGAAAGGTGAGCAAATACCAGGTTTGGAGTGGGACGGAACTCGGAAGGTAGTAGTTAAAGGAAAATGTGATACAAGGATTGCTGTTGTAAGGAGTATGGGTAACACCAAACCTTTTAACTGGATTACTTAACCATTTAGATACTAGAATATGTTTTTGGTTCTCTTAGGTCTTAGCTGTAAATAAAAATGTCCAAGGCATGAGGTTTAAGAAGACTCAAAACTCCGGTGGTCGAAGAATTCAGAATTAACCACAAGTTAAGATCCGTTGTTAAATCTCAGACCACAAAAGAAGTTTCTAAAGCATGTTGTACTTGCTACAACATAACCCTGCATTTGATTACATCTTATGGGAACATGTCTCTGATCCTATCTCTCTCTCTCTCTTTTTTTTTTTTCAATTTCATTCTTGCTATAATGCTTAAACACCAAAGTATATTACCATCTTTAACAGCAAGATGTTATGCAAGTGAGTTTACAAATTATTTGGTATCGAGTCAATAAAAAAATTGCAACAGTAAAAGATGTTTTAGCATATGCAGCATGTATACCTGTGCAGTAGTGAATCATGCTAAGGCAAATAAGGTTTTAGCCATAACCATTCATAAAGAAAGGAGGTGAACGAATCATTCATATAGTTTGAAGTTCCTCATGATTGAGAAATTAGAAGGCAACTCTGCCACGCAAGTTTATAGGGTCCACATTCATTACTAGATCACCAAGTAACGTTCACTCGGTTTTACCATTAAGCAGATGGGTAAAGATGTGGAGAAGTTAAACAGAATCAACAAGAAACCATATATGTCATTAGAAGCATGGACAAATTATATAGCCCTAAAGCCAATTTTGACGTCTAATACTAGAGAAAGAAGCAACTAAAATGAAAATTGCTATGGGTCAGTCACTCACCACACAATTGCATTGGAAGGCAAGGCACCATTCTACCGTCATGCCCTTGCAGCCAAAAGTTGCTCCTCCGAGGTCATTCTTGTGCAACTTCCTCATGGCTGTGGGCCGTTCTTGCTCTTTAAAGAATACAGCGGCCGCTTTGGCACGAGGATCTTTGGCGTGTTTCGTCCTGCCCCGGTCTTCATCCAAAAACCAGAGACGGCATAATCTCTGGAACCCCAATCTTAATGACGAATCCAAAGAAACGGAGACGGGAGGTACAAAAGAAACCTTAATCCAAAGAACCCCGAGAACGACGAGAAATCAAAGAAACCCAAACTTGAAACGCACAAAAAAATCCTTAATCTACGGAACCCAAACACGTACGACGAATTCAAGAAACAAAGACGGAAGATATCCGAAGAAACCTTTCGATCTAATTCTGATGGAGATTACTCATGCGATGCCTGTCCTTTTGGGTGTCTTGTTATCGTTTCTTGATGCGATGACTGTCATCTTGGGTATCTTGATGTCAAGAACCGATACAATGCCTGCCCTCTTGGGATGATCGTTTGGTATAATTTCTTTTGGTTTAATGAAGGACCCGCATCAAGCCACCCAAGGGGACAGGTAACGCATCAAGAACCGACGTCAAACTACCCAACAGAACAGGCATCGCATCAATAACTGGCATCAAGCTACCAAAGGAAAAAGAAATTGCATCAACAACAGACATCAAGCTCACCGATTATGGAGATCGCCGCCAACGGACGTCGTCTAAGAAGGATAGAGAGAGAAGGTGGTGGGAAAGAGAGGGTTAGGAAACCAGGAGAAGAAGAAGATTGAGAGACGGAGAGAGAGGGGAAGGAAAGAAGAAGATTGGTTACGCTTATGAAGTGCGAGATTGGAGTCGGTGTCTGGTCACCGCCAGCGTGGCTCAGTAGCGCGACGAACAGCGTATATGCTGGGAACGACTCACCAAGAATGTGGACGGTAAGTACACGTTGCATGACGCGTATACGGAGGCGGTTACCCAGCGAGCCCTCGAGATGAAGAGTCCCAAGTGACGTCCGCAGAGTCGAAGGACCGTGGGTCCCAACGAAGACCAATCGCAGCCCCGGAAGGGTAAGCAATGCATTACTCACAAACGGAAAACCGCGGTCGTTCGCCCTCTCACAGATAGGCGCGACGGTGGGTCCCATCGGCGACGCAATCGCGGAGAAGCAATCCGTGACGGGTAAGAAATCAGTGCTCGCACAAAGTGCTTGTTCAACAGGTCGATAAGTCAGAAAATAAAACTGAACGAAACGAAAGAACGCAGAGGAGCGGACGGACGACCGCAGCATCCGGCCAGCCGCTTATAATTGAGGGAGGAGAACGGGGAATACCGCGGCGGGAATGGAATCGGATCGGCGACCTAAAATAACGCGCGACACCGTGTCGATCGGTGCCCGACACGAAGCTTCGGGCTTTCGAGCCTCGCACGTGCGACCGCGCCCGTACCACGACCCACCTTTGTTTCTGTTTCTCTGCTTTCCTTTTTGTTTTCTGTTTTTGTGTTTACTTCACTCCCTCGTGGAGTTGCCCTCAGAATGAGTTAAGCTCAGATGATAAGCAATGGAGAGCGCGAGTTGAGATTACAGATGACAGTAAGTTGCTACATTTACTAAACTCAAGTCTGCTCTGTAAAGTGTTTAGGGAAAATTGCTATGCAGATCACCCAAAACAATCTCGAATGTGTGTGTCCTATATCACACACATATTTCTTCTGCGATGGTTAGGAACAAACAAGTAGAGCCCTGGTTATTGTAATCCGGAAGACGTGTGAGCAGCGGCGTGAATTCATTTGATATTGCAGGCCGCTTAGATATTAGAAAGACACCTGTGTTACAGCACACCGGAGGGAGATCCACCTAAGATCACAATAATTTGACACTCAAACCTTAATCTGACGGGAAAATTATGATAGCGGTGAGGTCAAAGGAGACAGCTCGCAAGAGTGGTACTGTGTTGGATTAGCATTCTGATAGATAAGAAGCTTGGGAAGTCCAATGACGCAGCTCTTAACGAGGAAGGATTAGAATATAGTGAATGAGAGAGACCAGCTAACGAAGGTTGGGAATCCGCTCGCCCTTGTGGAAGCATATATGGCTGTGAACGAAATCTACTTGGCATCCTAGTGCTTCTCTTATATAAACCATGGCCACAGGATGAGGGAGGGAGGGAGGAAGTTAGGATGGGGAACAGTCTGCGGTGTTGCTTGGCTTGCGTCCTCCCGTGCGGGGCGCTCGACGTCGTCCGCGTCGTCCACCTCAGCGGCCACGTCGAGGAGTACAGCCGCCGCGTCTCCGCCGGGGAGATCCTGGCGGCCAACCCCAACCACGTGCTGACCAGGCCGTGCTCCCGAGGCGTCGGGCGCCGGATCTTGATCGTGCCACCGGAGTCGGAGCTCAAGCGCGGGCGCATTTACTTCCTCATGCCCGCGCCCACCTTGCCGGAGCAGAAGAGGAGGAGGCATACCATGGTCAGGACACGAGGAGGCGACGAGTACACGACCGAGATTGCGTCGGGGAAGAAGCCGATCCATCGTCGGCGGCCGAGCGGCCGGGTCGGAGTACATCGGTCGCAACTCGAGAGCATTTGCGAGGACTCTTGAAGGGTGCAGCCGCCGGAACGTGGCGGCCGGAATGGGTCTAATCAGGAAGGATTAATTGCACGGAAAACATTTCTATCTCTATTACGAGCTGTTCTTGTGGATATCCATGCAACTCTACTTCTTCCTCTTATTATATGGAACAGAGTGAAGCAGAGAGATCGATCGAGTGGAAGCACAGAAAAAAAATAGAAGAAAAGATGTAAAACATATCAAAAGGAATTGAAAGCCATTCAAAATTGTGCATGCTTCTAAACTTGTAAATTGCATGATGAACAGAGAAGTATAGATTTGGGTAATAAACAATTCAGCTAATGACCTAATCCATTTTTTTTCTGGAGTGATAGCAACTCCACCAACATCACTAATATATTAAAAATTAATTTGGTAAAAGGCCCACTAAGTAAATCTAATATTTTGGTTGAAATATGTCCTGAATGTTAATCGAATTGAATCATCCTAAGAGAATTAAATGGGATCCACGAAATGTATGGTTGCAGGAACTACTGAAAAAAAGAGTGATCCTTATACTAGAAAGACCTTTCATGCATTGAAGAGAGAGGAGGAATTAATATAAAGGTGGTTTGTCGGCTGAAGGTCTACAGCTAATACTATGCATTATTTAGTAGAACCTACTGAGTATTAACTCTTGGATCAAGCAAGCATTACCAAAAGGTTGTCTAGCAAAATATTCTATCTATGAATATGATTCCAGAATCGATTATTTTATGCAGTGACAGCAAAGAATTATGGAGACAAGTAATCTAGATATTTAGGATAAGAACTATTCCACAATTCAAGTTCAATTATTTCTCAGTGATTGGTTCTTTATGTCATATATTGATGGCCAAACAGATGCTGTTGAGAAGACAAAAAAGGACTGCAACCAGAAACTGCATCTATTTTGGCTTCACAAAGATGAAAATAAAGTAGAAGTTCACATAATCTTTTAAATCCTAAATCTTAAACAACTACTGGTGACCCACTGATCTGATACTTACTCAACGTGGGTGAAGACAGATTACCTTTGGCATCCAACAAGTGATGGAGAAGGAAACCCCACTCATTTGCTTTGTCTTGGGATCTGAAAACAAGAACAAAAGTTGAAGTTGGCCTCAACTGATTGCAGCTAGACAGAAGAATGTGTTGCTAGCTGGCACATCTGTTTTTTTTCGCAACCTAATAGATCACACAGATCTAATCACAAACCTTGCTGAAGGCAATCACATGAAATCATGTTCTAAGGTATCCATTCACTGCAATTATTGCAGAAAACATCCTTGGGCCTTTCATGTTGCTAAGCTTATCTATACAGCATGGAATCTTCAGATATTCACCATCTCATGCAAGAAAACTAAGCTATTAAGGTTGCTTCTGATTGGAATAAGATGTTCTTGCAAGAATTGCCATATCGACTTACTCGTGGCCAAGTTTAATCTGTAAAAATCAGTAATATCAGATTTTGAAGGTTTAATCTATTCATTGTATGTATATACATGAGAAGAAAAAATGACTGTTCAATGAATGACAATGTAAAGCCATCATTGACTTCATAAAACTTTTTTACACTGAGAAAAATGGTTCTTTGACTTTTCAGCTGAAGTTGTTTAAACTTTTGCTTAAGAGTAGAAATCCAGGGATCTCACGAGGTTAACAAAGTGCTTTCAGTTTCTGAAATGATGCAACTAAATTGGTCTAACCAAACAAAGCTCAGACTGTAATGAAGCTTAAATTTCCATTGCTCGGTGAAGTACATTAAAAAACTTGAATCCTACAACTCATTATTTGGAAACCAAAAATAGACAGAGAAGAGGCAAGAAAGACCATGTCGAAGCACCACAGTGGATTTGCATGTTGTTCCCAAAATCGCTGTAAGTGCTGCAGTAGATGCACACTGGACTTCAGATATCAGCATGGGAATTACGACAGGGCAGCATCCAATGAATGCAAATTCGTGATTCATTAAAAGTTATCTGGGCGCGCACACACAAAGAGTTGGCAACTAGTTATCATAACAAACTTCGGAGTTCAGACACATCGAATCAAGCTAATGAACCACAAAATAAAATCAAATTCAACATGCAGCTAACTTTTCTTCCAAGCAAACGGAAACCTATCTTCTACTAGAGAGCAAGGATGCTCTATAGCTATTAAAACCTAAAGGGCAAGGATCAGTACGACTAAGAAATTAACAAACAATTAGATTCATTAAAGGGCAAAAAAAAAAGAAGCAAGCAAGAACCTAGAGTTCTACCTTAAAATATGACTAGACAGACTAGAAACACTCATGGATATCATTCACAGCTCAATCATACATCATTTATCATTAACAATCACGTTAGGAATTTGGTATTCTCACATATCTAATATACTTTCATTTATTTATTCAAGCATTTTAAATAAGCAAATAATATCATACTAGCCCTAGTCAGTGGCTTCCTTACCCTATCAACTCACTATAACATCAATCCAGCTACAAGCGCATTTATAAAGATAGAATTACTTTTATGATCTTTCTTCAAATTTAAGAAGAAACTTCAGTTACCTCTGATCATGATTTCATAACAATCTTCTCATTATCATCAGAATCCGAGTCACTGGCATTGTAACCTAACAAATATGACAATGACATTAGCAACAAAACTCATCCAAATAAAGAAGATTACAAATTTATGAAAGCTATGACAGCAAAAGAATGTACAGAGAAAAACACAAAGCATGGCTGCTTTTCACCTCCCCCTTCCTCAAAAAAATTAATAAAAAAGCAACCCAAAATTTCTAACACACCCATGCATATAAAAAGTAAAATAGAAGAGAAACAAAATGAAAGAAGAAGAAGAAGACAAACCTGGACGCTTGTCGCTAACCTTCCAAACCGATGAACGGTACTTTGATGCTTTGGCAATCCAAGCATCGGCCTGAAAAATCAAATTCACATTAGGGATTTTGTAAAGGAAAACACTTAATCATCCATTTTAACAAATAATAAACCCTACATAATATATGGTCCTAAACTAGTAGAATTGAATGGAACATTGCAAGAAATGTACAGTTGTATGCCATTAAATCAGTATCATACTATCTTCAGACTAATTATTTCCCAAACTGCATGTGCAGACTTCTGCATGCATGTAGTGGATAAGTTAGATGATTGCTTTATGGTTCAACAAAATTGATAAGATTAGAGAACATCCCATGCTGACTCAACCTCCAGAAAGTTTCTTTTTTTTCCCAAGGATCGAGTCAACCCTGAAAATTTTCAGCGGGCCAATTATTCTCTCACAAACCTGACGTGTGGGATCTATGTCAGGAACACACACATGTGCCCCATTCAGCATAACCCTAGAATCCACAAAATCATTACCGTCTCAATGTCAAAGCGTCAAAATACATTGATGTCACAGCATAAAAGATATATTTCTAGCTATGCTGAATGGTCTAAAGTACAAAGTCAATATAGAAATTGCTATGACTGGACAAGTTTAGGACAGGCTGCTAAAACCGATCGATTAGACGAATTTTCTTCGAGGGAGCTGAGAAGCAATTATGTCAACAATCTACAACAATTATATTGACAACCAGCAAAGGCAGTACTTGTTTTAGACTTCCAATAGCTCCAAACATAACTGGAATATCTAGCAATTAAAACAGCTTTCCGGAGAGACAAACTTGTCTATCAGAGGATCCGGTAAGTATATTCTGAATGGTTGATTCAGAAAGACAAGAAACTAGAGGCAGAAATCAATCAGCCGACAGATCTTTTGCTCTTCCTATTTCGAAGCCGCCTCATACAATCAACAAGTTGCCTTCTGTGTGCATCAGCTGTTGACGGGTCCAAACAAATCACAGAACTCAAAATTTTCATCATCTGTGTGCTATCAGGTGCCATCCGCAATCGAAACCCTAACCACCAAGTGAACAGAAACAGAGCCCCAGAGTTGGGAACACTAAAACCAACATCCCCAAATCACCAAACCTACCATCAAACAGATCATCGCATGAAATTACCCTCACCTTTTGGTCGTTCTTCAGGACACCATAGCCGCTGTGGTACATCTGACCGACGAGGACCTGCATCCCCGCGTCGCCGGCCCTGGCCTCCTTGAGCGCGTCCTGGAACCACCGCCGGGTGCAGTCCGCCACCACTTCCTTGAGTGGGACGCGGCCCTCCTGCCGCACCCGGTCGTCCATGCCCCGTCCGAGGTCTCTAAGAGCGGCGGCGGTGGAGGTCTCGGCCTTGTTCAAAGAAGCCAGAGATTTAAGGGCGGGTTTGGAGACCTTGGAACTCCGGATTCTCTCGACGGCGACGGCGGGGGTGTAGCCCAGCTGAGTCGATGCGGATGGCTTGCGGATTGACCGTTAAAGGAGAGCAGAGCAGAGAAGAGAAGGAAGCGAATAAGAGTGGGAGATTTGCAATCTGACGGGGGGGATGATTCGGGAATGTAACTTCTTTTGCTTCGGGAATACTTCATCGCGAAGGGATTCCGAGTGATTAGATATTGACTACTTGCAAGTCACCCATCACGTGGCGGCATCAAATCATCCTCCTGTCCGCCACCAACGGTCTTAAAATTAGGTAACAACTTGTATAAAACTCACACTAAAAACACCTTTAAATCAATTTTACATAATTTATGCATGAATTGCATCCTTAATTATTTAATTATTACAAAATTTGATTTTTTTTTCTTCCCGAAAACTCTAGGCAAATTGATAGGCTATGTATTCTTAGTTGAAATTATTATTTACAATCTTATTTTAAAAAAAAATTGATAATTTTTTTTAATCATGTGTGATAAACAAGGACGATATCATACAAACATAATTGTTCTCATTATCTTGAGCAACAAATACCAAGTTGTCATATACTTAATTAGATTTACTTAAGTCATGCAATATCTGTTCATTTATAAAACTGTTAGTTTCCTCATAATCTTTTATAATAAAATTGAAAGATAACACCTAGAAATATTACATCGGCTTTATACAAATTTATTTATGATATTTTTCCATACTTATTCCTTTAATGTCCTGATCAAAACTTTTGCAGATGTTATCTCTTCTTACAAATTTAGTTGCAACATGATTCTCGGCTCCAATCTACTTTTCGTTGTTGTTAAATAGTTGAACTTTGATCCGCCAACGTTACTTCAACTCACTAGTGCCGTTAACTCTAGTGTAAGGTTAATCAATTTTTTCTAATCTTCACTAGGCCTTGTATCTCCCTCAAATGAAGGAAAAGACCTTTTTGTTATCTATCAGTGCCTCAAGCATCTCATGCCTTTTGAATCGAATGAATGTCTACCGGAGCTTTAACGAGCATTGTCTCACAAGCTTTCAAATTTTGAGATCTTTTCTCAGTAAAATTCACTAGTTGATTCCTTTCGAATGACATTTTACTGTAAAATATAGTAAATGATCCACTCTTATTATGACTGATCACCATCGATGAGGATTTAACAATTATTATCTACCATAGTGTCTCTTTGATGATCTTTTAAACATGTGCAGAGCTTCTCTACTAGATAACTAAGAGAATTATGATACTCAATTTTGTTTATTTTCTTAAGAGTTGAAAATAGCAAAATTACTTGACTTCATTTGCTTCCTCAACAGTTTTACTTCACATATCAAACTGATTACCAGCCTTCGCTTACTTTTTGCTTGTGTTTCTGAAATATCCGAAGTGTTTACACTCTTTGAACTAAATTAGCTATCGTGATTCACCTTCTCATTGCCATAGAACTTTTAGAATATAAAAAGTTTTATCGAAAGTATAAAATTTTGCTCCTCTTAGAGTAAATCACTATTGGTTTTAGTTGCCTTTAGGGCTATATCACCTTTAATATCATTTTTGTCACTTACTCCTATAATCACAAAGGTGACAACATCACATATTTCATATTCCATTCCTTGGTTGAGTAATTTCATATTAACCAAAAGTTCCTCATTTTTAGTATCCTGATAAGAAACTTTTTGACATTGATCTTATGAAGTTTTCTGATCTTTTTCTTTCTGTCTTGTCTCAATACTTAGAGTTTGTCACTGCATTCTTCACCTCCTTGCCCTTTCACGACCTTATGCTCTCCCATTATAAGAGCAAGGAATTGATGACTCTACGAAAATCCCTCTCTATAGTACCATGGTGCTTCCATGCTCATGACAATTTCATCCACCACCTCGCATCTGTATCATTTTTCTTCATGATTAATATATTCGTCTTTATTGCACTAGGTACCTATTCGAGTTCACCTTTAATCTGATCGATGCTTGGTTTTGGGTAATTAAGTCCCACTGGGTTGCTATTGTTTCCTTGCCTATTTCAACCACTTACTTCAATAACTTTGTGTTATCTAAGCAATTCATCTTGGTTGATGAAAATATAGATTATAACTCTCATACATAGCTTTTACCATTATGTTATAGAGCTCATATTGATTTTGTTCTCCGTTACGCCCTAAGTAGTAATGTTCAGTTACTTAGCTTTGTCCTCTGACTTGTCGAGCTCCCTTAAGCGAATATGACCTCTGGAACAATCCTACTCTCCAATCATTTCGATCATATCTCTATATAAAAAAGTCTCTCATTGGACTTGTTGGTACTTACACTTAGAAGTCCCCCTTGATGGTACATAGCCCTTAAATACTGATGATCAAGGCTTTCATCCGATATAAAATTTAATGCATGCATGAAAAACCTATCTCTATTGCATAATGATATTCATTCCTTAAATTCATAGCTATTCTTACTATCATGTTGCTCATCGAAGTGAAGCTCCCAACAGCTCCCAATCATCCCGTGGAATAATCAAGTCTTTCATGATACTTTTCTTATGCATATCAGATTATCTCGAACTATTACACCATGTTACCTCCTAGTGATATTCTATTATACTCTAATATTTATGTGATAAACTCAAACCGTGATCCCCTTATATGTGGCCTTTGCCAGAATATCATAAAGCCCCTACCTCTTCTAATTATGTTTATTCCTTTGACAATCAATATTTGTTCACTTGCACTCGAGTTACTCACGGACGAAATGTAGCTTTATGACAATTTATCATCCACATACAAGCCCTTACATAAAATACCAAATTTATTAATTGAGCAATTCCCCTTGCCTCTCTGAGTTTCACGTAACTCTTTCAATTATTAAGCAACTCATCTCTCTTTGTATGGTTTCATTCATTGCCAAGCATTATTCTTGCATTTAATACTATTGAGTTTGATCGCCAATGTCGAGTCGTGGCTTGAACTTAATCATCTTAATCTTTGTGCGCTGCATGTTCTTTCCAATTTTTTGTTTGTATTTTTAGATATTTATGTCTTTTGATTTTGTTCCTATGTGAAGGGCTTGTAGTAGGCAATGAGAGTTGATATCCAGATTAAAGATTGGAGTAGGAGTATCAATTTTATGATGCTTCCCTAGATGATTTCTAAGTCATTCTTAGGGTGAAGTTGTTACAAGAGATGAAAGTAATACTCATGTCATTCTTGAACTCTTTCTTTTTGATAGATGGTGAGTCTCTGGTGGCACTTTTGAATAGAGTATCAAAGAACATATATATCCTCTCGATTATGCATGATGATTGTAATATATCTTACGGGTGATGCAATATCTTTATCATACTTACTTTCTATTTTATGAAAGTGCTAGGTGAATATCGAGCCTGCATCTACTTTTAGAACCTCTTTCCAAGCGCTCATTCAACATGTTTTTCTTTTTATGCCTAATAAAAGCTGATTGCTTGGTGTTGCTTTGGATCATCGTTATCTTGCCCCTTTCATGTGCATTGATAGTAAATTATCAATATATTTGCCTTTCTATTTTTTTTTTTAGTTTGTAGGTCTTTTATAGATTATATAAGGTTAAACTCTAGGTTGATCCTCTACTGAAGAGTATCACTGATATGCCTTAAGCGATTCCAACTAATGATATAATTGAATAACAAGAGAGTAACGAGCAACACTAAGAGGCTATGAAAAATAAAATGATAAGATTGATAAATAAGGGGGTATAAATAATAAAATTATATTTTATTATTTTTTTAGGGTCATCTATAGCAAAGCATTACAAATAGCAAGCTTCTATAAATTTTACTAATATAATACATATTCATTTATAATAACTATGGTCTTGACAGTGAAAGCAACTTTGTTTTTTTCCATGTTTTTCATCAAAAGAAGAAAAACGAAGAAAACTAAAACATTTCTCCGATGAGTAACCACATAAATAAGCACAGATGAGGCAAATAAGAAGAGACACCCTCAAACCATTATTTATTTCTCTAAGATTAGTATTACTTTATTTATCCTATTTCGAGATCTATATATTTATGCGTCTCATATAGCAAGGACAAGGCCAGGAAGTGACTTCCGGGCACGCCGGTGCAGGCGGCTTTGCCACACCGGGAGGCAGTGAGTCGACCGGTCGTGGTCCTCAGAAGAAGAGGCGGGAGAATCGGCGCCGACGCGGGCGACGGTGAGGGAAGTGTTGAAGTACTCCCGCACCTGGGTGATCACCCCCTCCGGTTCGACGGTCCAGGCGTGAACCCACAGCGCGCCGAGGCCGCAGCCCTCGGCGACCACGGTGGAGCCGAAGGCGGCGACCTCCTGCGGCTCGAACTTGAAGGCGATGGTCTCCTCCTCGCCGGTGAGGAGGCGCTTCAGGTGCTGGTGCTTCGGCTGGCCATGGAACCGCCACTCCAGGTCCGGCTTCAGCAGCCGGTGCAGCTTGGCCACGTCCCGGGCGTTTATGGCCTCATACAACTCCCGCACCACCACCTCCGGCCTCTCCAGTCTCGCCAGTTCTCCTCCTCCTCGGCTGCCGTTAGCCAGATCCGGTAGTGGCCTCTCGGACTCCAGTGCTGGGGAAACGGAAGAGGTGGAAGCTTCGACGGCTCACGTGGAAGAATGCACGGGCAGATACGAAGCGGATGGCAGCGAGGGGGGATGAGTCGGGGGTCACTTTATAGACGCCAAGCGAGCGGGAAGGGATGAGGGTGCGCTCGACGTGGGTCCATTCCTTGTCTATCGGATCATCATAATCTAATATTATTGGATGTGTGTCGGGCCCCACGTTAATTCTCAGATGTGCTATGTGCCAACTTAATATTCAGATGGATTCCAATAAATAAATAAATAATAATGTTGCTACATGCCCTCTATAGGCATACATAAATCAAATATCATGATAATCTCTCTCTCTCTCTATATATATAATTTTTATTTTTGAAATAAAATTTTATAATATATATTTTTTAAATTATTGAGATCAAATCTCATTATTATTACATACCATTAAAAAAAACAATGATTCAAGAATTATTTGTTTCTTAATCATGAATGGTGATAAGTTCAATACATGCATGAATAGAGTGATGTGCTACCAGATTAATATCAAAAATTGGATTTTGATTTGGAATAAGGTGATAAAAGGTTTAAAATAGCTTAGCTTTGAAGTTGCGAAAAGCCTTTGGATTCGCTGAAAAATCAGCACTCTTTTGATCGATGTCTAAAATGTTCATACCATTCTGTGTGATATTTAGCAGCAGCTTTGCTTACAGTTAATGCAGCACTGGCAAGATTTTTTTGTCCATGCAATGCTTGTCACTTTCTTGATTTCTTTTAGTCAGCATGACTAAGAAAAAAAAAGAGTTGACTTATTGGCTTCATCGAGTTGATAATTTGGATAAACGTATCTTGTGATATGGAATCATATTGTTATGTCCATTCTGATAACCTCTTTCCGAAAGATGAAGATAAGAAGATAGATAAAGAGGTCTTCTATCAGCATGGAATAGTACGTCACTTGTCTTGTTTTCTCTGAGGAATGTGTGCACTTGTGCCCGACATTTGCTAGTGGAGGAACAGAGTGGACAGCTGCTGCCACTTTGGGGGAGAGCCAGTAAGATTTTGTGCTCTTGCCATGGCCTGTTTCCATCCTAATGGATGAGATTATGTAGTGCTTCTTCCAAAATCTCATGTCTTCTATCAGCTGCTGCAGTACCCAAAGTTTCAGTCGTGAACTTTGCCTTTCTCAAAACAAATCTCCTTTGATCTACGTCATGCAATTTAACTGCACCCAACTCCATGAATCTGCTTAGTGGACTCGATCTACGTGTTCATGTCTTTGCTTGAGACGGTGGAGGCCACCGGGCATGAACAGTGGTCGATCCCATCGTCAGTCTCGTGGCCGAAGGGCGGCGTGCTTCTACGTGCCAATGAGCAGCAGCGAAGCAAAGGTCGAAGAGTTCAATCAGATTTGATGTGCATGACACTCGTTCACTCTGAGCTCGTAATGCTCACCCAAGATTGGTGAAACGATCTTTTCATATTACGGTGTTGTTTTAAGAAATCATTCACTTGATCTGATGGAATTCCACTAAATCGTCAGTGAGTAAAGTCTACCGATCATTGAAAAGTGAGTTGCAAATGCTCTGACACGAGGCAATGCGTCAGAGAAAGATAAAGAACATTTTGTGGATTTAGTGATTCGTGGAGGTCAGAATTCAAGTAATTTTCCTTGATCTTTGGAAGAAAAAATCACTCAGAAAATTGATGGAGATGAAGAATACAAGGCAGCAGGCTATGTGGTTCTTCCTGGATTGCGACCTCCTCAAACAATTCGTGTCGAACTTGAACATGTGATCTGCATTTGGCCGATCGATGCGGGCATCTGCAACTAAACATTCATTGGATCTTTTGAGAGTATCAGTTGTTGTAAGGGAGGTTTCATATTGCCACCGAAATCTAACACCAAATACGCTTCCTTGATGTCGTGAGGCTCATCTTCCTGACTCTTAGACTCAGCCGCTGCAGCCGTAGACGCCGGCGATTTAGCTGGATAAGAGATCAGACGCGAGGAATCATACTGCAACTTGCCGAGTGAATTCAGACCACTCTCGCGAGGCAGAGGATGCAGAAAGGGATGGATGTCCTCCTCCTCGTCCTCCGAATGCTTTCTGTAAAGGCTGTCGTCCTCTACTTCGTATGAGTTCCCGGTGCGCACCTCCTGAGCCAGAGAGCACGACCAGCAGAACAGCCATTGGAGGTAGTCGGTGAGCGATTTCGATCCGCAACAAAGCTCATTGCCGGGAAGTCTGAATCTTTTCCTCATTTGGATCCTCCAGAAACCACCATAGAGCAGACCAAACACACAGAGCACGATGCCTGCGATCCCCACCATGTCTCCTATGACGTTGTCGTGGATGTTGAGGGCCGAGATGTTGAAGATCCAGAAAGGAGCAAAGCACAGAAGAAGGAAGGTGGTGATATGGACGTACATGTTTCCGAAGCCCAGCCTTTCCATGTTCCATCCGAAGACACAGAAGGTGCAGAAGCAGGAAAGGAAGCTCACGGTGATATCATCACTGCAATCGAATAACCCCCCTGCCCACTTGGGGTCGCTCACCAGAGCCCTCAGCTTGTGTAACCTGATGCTAGGCTTCACACTGGATTGCTCATGGTTCGGACCACCCTGCGATTCTTCATCCAGCTCGGCGTCACATTCCCTTCCCAGTGGGCTGTACACAGCGTAAGCACCAGCCAACACCGGTGCTGCAAATCCAAGGCCGAAGAAGAAGATCTCCGCGAACTCCGGTCTGGCTTCGCTGGCGTATCCCCAGTAGAGGCCGCAGGAGATGTACTGGGCGAAGCAAGTGATTTGGAGGAGGAGGAGGACGACCAGCATATGAACCCACTCGTGAGGCCGGTAGGCGCCGTCCTTGCAGTAGATCTTCCTAAGGGCCGTGATGTCTTCCGGTCTCCATCTGCAGAGGAGGACCAGGTGATGGAACAGGCTCGGATGCTGATACAAGCTCATGAGGGTGAAGAGAGCATTCAGGACTTGGTTGTTGATCTCGATCCAGTGGTTTCTCGAGGCCTTCGTGGGGAATGCTTCATCCAGTAGTCCAAGGAGGAGCAACCCCTGCATGGCGGTGGAGACGGACACACAGATCAACCAGATGAGAAGAGCAGCATTCCTCGGGTGTTCTATCCATTCCTTGAAGCTGGCTGAGACGGAGGACCAGTTGATGCTGCCGAGGAAGCTGATGCCGAAGCGCCGCTGTGAATCGACCGGAGAAGAAACGGAAAGCGAGACTTCCTCCCTTACATCCACCGTGTGCCGGAAGATCCTCGAAGGGGAAAAGAGTTGGAGCTTCTCGATCCATCCCCCCAAGGAGGGAGCTCGCAGAAGACCAAGAACATGCCTCCTATGCCTCGTTGGGCCTAACACCTGAAACGATCGAATCAAGCTGACAGCATCATCGACGTGTTCAGGAGCATCCGGATCTTGATGCAATCGGACTGCAGGGACCATTTCCACCGCAGACTCATCCCTGTCCGATGGCATTGCCCTATGTAATCCGTAGACACGCTGTGAATTCTCGGTGAAGAACCACAGTCAAATACGACGGAATTCCCTGCAGAAAACCACTCGAACAAGTTTCGATCAGGTTCAGAACAATTTCGAGGAGAACGTTGGCTTTAGATTACAGATAGACACAGAAGATGTTCATACATTCATGACGCAAAATTACACGACAGTTTGAAGTTCGATCATCTGCAGTCGCTAATTCCAGTTCATCGAAGAATTAAGCAACCACCAGATCCAACGGACAACCTATGAAGCAAGACCATACTGAGAATTTTACGGTCAACGCCTCCATGGGAGTTCATCGGCAGTTTAAGATCAAAGACGAAGAAAAGGAAAATACTGAACGCTACATACCCGACGGTGAGAGGAAGCGAAGCCGATGAGAGAATTGGAAGGATTTAATCCTGCTCCTGAGATCAGCAACCTCAAGGGGGAGAGAGTTTGGGAAGGTAGAAGAGGAGCGAAGACTTTCACAGGAGCGAACACACGGCAGGATAGGAACGGCGGGTCGAAAAGGTCAAGTTGATGTGAGGACGGAGACATTCCAACCTCATAAAGAAATGCCCGCTCTATACTCATCCCTTGAAGTGGGGCCCGGCTCACCGCTGGCATAGAGTCACCAAATCTACCTGGGTAAAAACTTGAGGTGTCGCCTGGGATTCGTGAAAGAGCAGCATTTTGGGTTCTTGATCGGTAGACATCGACCAGAAAACTATTATTTAAACCGCACTCGCCATCAGACTTATGGTATGAAACTACAAATTCTAATGAACATCTCATCTCACACAAGAAAATTAAACGGATGGACACAATACAAGCATATCATCTCCCACTTCTGTTCATTGATCTCCACCCCGTATTTATTTGGATACGAGAGACGTGACTGAATCTGCAAGGGAACAAAAGGGATTCAGAGGCACGTCTTATGACCACCACATTTGACAGCTTAAAGAACCTTAAGACGTAGGACTAAATGGATCCATTTAGTTAGGTACGTGTGTATGTCATGCTTGTAAGAAGTTATCTACCAGATTTATTCTCCTTCTTCAGCTTATAGAATGAACCAACACGGAAGCTTACATATCTTGATCTGGCATTAGATGGTACATTCAATTTTGCAAGCTGGCGAGGCACCAAAAAAACGTAGTTCATGATCTCATTTCTCAATGAACAAACAGCTGCTGGTATCACTAGCAAAATTGAAATAAAGAACTGGGGAGTTGATACAAGTAAATTTTTGCTGGAAAGGAAATTGTCTGCAAACATAGTAAAGTTTTAGCTATACTAAAGTTTTTGCAAGTAAAAGTAGTATTTTTCCTTCCTTTAATCAAACAAATTATCTGAATTATGAAACCAGTCGGATAAGTAAAATTACCATAGAAGAAGAATCTTGAATCCCGATGCTATGAATGACACTTTCGTGGAGGTTCTTTCTCGGGTTCATCATCTAAAACATGAGTACCTTTTCTTGGTGGAGCAGGTGACAAGCCCTTGGTGTTGGTCTTTTTTATGAGTGTCCCATTCTTCGTGGAGCAGGTGACCAATTCTGTTCTTTTTCCTCTACAATAATCATTCATTAGATTGAGAATATTTACAAGGAGGCTACTTTTAGCTTCAAGAAGTAATTATGCAGTCTCCAGAAAAGAATTTCTGAACCTACTTGGCTGCTTGCAATATGAAAATATAAAAATGCTTTCGTAACTAGCACCTACATTTATATTTTGATCAGCATCTTTTGGTTATAAATGAATGGACTGGCAAACTTGCGCAACTTTTAGCTACATTAAGGAACCATTTTGTTGTTTTTCTTGCACCACCTAGAAAAAAATCTTTGCTTAAACCAATGCTCTAAACCCCCAAAAGGTTCTCTAAAAGAAAAATCTGATATAGGAAAATTCAATGTCTTTTGGATCTGAAAAGTCTATTGATTGCATTGGCTTGCAGCATTTTAATTCCACTGCTTGCAACTAAGTCCATCATTTGTGAAATTTTCTTGCACACAAGTAGATATATTTAATAGTTTGATTATGGATAGCCTTTTCCGTTTTCGGTTGTTGATTGAATCTATTGTTCCTCATTCTTAGGGTTATAGCTTCTCCATCACAATTGATAATCAATATTTAAGACCAACCGCCTTATCTCAAAGCAGCATTTGAAAGTTCAATTATTTCGATGATGCTATTTAAGAAAAGTTATAGACAAAATCATCCAAATTCAGACAATCAGGTGGCAGAGTTAAAATCACCTGATCTTTTATCTAGCTTGGTCGGCAAGACTCAACTGAGGTAGCAAAGTAATATTTGTGTCAGTCAAAAAATCATAAATAGGAGATCTTCATAGAAATCACAAGTAAAATGAGCCATGAAACTGAAGATCTCTCCAATACTAGCAAAGCACTTTATAAATCAAATAATTCAAAATATAAAAACATAATAAAATGCACCCATGTAGGCAAGAAAATAAGGCGCACCTCCAATGATAAGGCTTTTAGTTAGATGGGAGGTTCCCACCATAGCCTCTTGTTTCTCACAGATAACACTATATACATTTCTCAATATAATGGCCATTTTCCCGACTTGGCCTGCAAATGAAAGAAACAGCACAATACCACTATGAGATCCACAAAATATAATTAATTAATTTTTTTGTTATATGTACTGCAACATCATGCATTCCCTATCCAATCAGAAGATTCTAAACAACAACATATATACC